TATGAGAGTGAGCATGGTAGAATGCAGAATGAAAAAGTACCTGCAAGTTACACAGCACGTTTAGATCTAACATAGAGGCACCTTTACAATCATACATGATTGTATTTCATACAAATCAGATTTCTGAAGAAGGGTCTAGGCCCGAAACGTCAGCCTTCCTGCTCCTCTGATGCTGCTTGGCCTGCTGTGTTCATCCAGCTCTACACCTTGTTATCTCAAATTCTCAGCATCTGCAGTTCCTACTATCTATGGAGGTGAGATTACTGGTTGAGAGGGTGAAGGTCAGTACTTGTCAGGGCCATTAAACACAGTTGAGCTGTGGACCTATTTATTATCTGTGGGAATTCAGTTGCCTGTTGTTTACCCCAATAAAATTATTTTTAAAAATCTTTGAGTTTGAATTCCTGAGATGTCTGCCCTTGTTGCATCCCTGACTGCACCCTTAACATTCGCACATGCAAAATTCTCCACTAATGCTAATAAGTGCAGTAGTAGAGTCCAGCTAACAGAATGGCAGTTGGACCCCCACCCCTCCCCTACATTGAAACAGTAGCTGTTAGGTTTGGTTTTGAGGCAGCTGTTCATTTTGTAGCATGGTGGAATATTGCATGCTGCCTTGGGCAAGCAGTGCTTTGTGTAAACGGGCTGAAATGTTTGTTTTTCTTTCAATGTGGGTTCACGCTGCCAATGGATAGCTTTTTTTTCTAGCAAGGCCTGAGTGCTTAAGCAAACGCAGCACTTTACTCACAGCAGGGCCTTCCTGGCGGATTGAGTGGGAGATGAACAGAATCACTCCTTGTGCTGAGAAGCTAATGGGGAAATGACAGCTCAGGATCTGAGTCATTGACAACCTCGACGAGGGGGTAGATGTTGTGGAGAAAAAGAAAATATTGCAAACCAAGTAATCAGCCTTGAGGTTGAAATTAAATATTGAGTCATCTAGAAACTAAAATGATTTTTAAAATATCTTTTCCTCATTTTGATCTGTTTTAACTCCTGGGCATTCTATGTATATGCTCCGTTAAAATTGCTTTTTTGCTGATTAATTGACTGTCCAAATAGAAAATTGATAATGCAAATACTAGTAATGCTTCTACTTTTTTATAATTTGTTAACTAACACAGGTTTGCATAATTTGGCAGAAAACTATTATTGTTTGTGCTGTCATATTGCAAACATTGCAGTCCTCTAACCAAGGAAGTTACTTTTTTTACAGATCTGTTGCATAGTTTGAATTAAGGGCATTTAAGGCTAATGCCCAATTCATCGGGATGTGTCTTCATCCATCGAATGCTTTTATTACCTCTCAGTCATGCAGTGACTGGGAAGAGCAATTGTGCTAATAATATCAAGTTGCAGGTTTTCAGGAGGCCCACATAGAGGTTGCTGTCTCTCTTACCCCCGCCTCCTTGGTGGTATCACAGCCATTCATATGGCATTAGCTTGAACCATTGTATGTATTATTAATTTCAATGTCAAATTATAACTGCTTTCCCAAAAAATAAGAATACAAGTAAAAATAAATGCCTGTTTATTGCTACTGGGAGTGTTCAGAACTCCTTCAATTTTCCTCCACCTCTGTGGTATTGACTCATTTCTGCAATGTTATCTCCAGTTTCTCAGCCAAGCTGCAGCTGTTGCTGCTCTACAATGGTAATGGCTCATACATGCGCGTTCAACAGCAGTTACTGGACAGGCATCACGAACAGGAATCCAGGCTTTGCTTTTTCTGTATTTGCAAAGTGCACTGAGCCTCTCAATAACCTTCTTAATGACTGCCTCAGTGGATAGTTGCTAGTTCAGTACAGGATTGAACTATAGATCCAGTGATCTTGCACACTCCAAGCTAAGCTTGAAGAGTTAAGCGTAAATCATTTTTTTAAAAAATCATTTCTGTCTAATTGAACCACAAAATCCAAGCAAATCATATCCAATTGATGTTTCTGCTAACTGGGGTCCTGAATGCAAGGTGATTTTCTTTTAAATATAGACTGCAAAGTGATCAAAACACAAATTATGTAGGTCTTGTGAGGCTGCTGGAGTCAGAAAGTGCTGTTAGTAAAACAACACGGAATAAATTTCACAGGTGAACCAGCAAACTGTCTTCCTAATTAAATATTTTGTGGTCCACAAGACCATAAGATGTAGGAATGGAAATAGGCCATTCAGCCCATCGAGTTTGTTCCATAATTCAATGAGACTATGGACGATCTGATGTTCCTGAACTCCACTTTCCTGTCTTATCCTCACAACATTTGATTCTCGTACTGATTAAAACTGTCTTTTGCTTCCTTGAATATATTTAATGATCAAACCTTGACAGCCGCCCACAATAAAGAATTCCACAGAATCTCTACTCTATGAAAGAGGGAATTCCTCCTCATCTGTTTTAAATGGGCAACTCCTTGTTCTGAGACGATGCCTTCTTGTCCTATACCTCCCACAGAGGGGAGAAAAGCCTCTCTGCATCTATCCTGTTATGCATCTGAAGAATTTTATGTTTCAAAAAAAACAAAGAATTGCAGATTTGTGGAGATAATGCAGAATTAATGTTTCAGGTCTAGTCATCCTTCCTCAAAACAATGACGTCGCCTTTCATATTAAAAAAAACTCTGGATCCTGCAGATCTGAAACAAAAACAGAAATTGTAGCCAGCCAGCATTTATTGCCCATCCCTAACTGCCCAGAGAGTCAACCACATCGCTGTGGGTCTGGAGTCACATGTAGGCCAGACCACGTAAGGAAGGCAGTTTCCTTCCCTAAAGGACATTAGTGAACCAGATGGGTTTTTCCAACAATTGACAATGGATTCATAGTCATCATTAGACTGTTAATTGTAGATATTTATTGAATTCAAATTCTATGATCTGCTGTGGCGGGATTCAAACCCGGATCCCCAGGATGTTGTCTGGGTCTCTGGATTAACAGTCCAGCAATAATACCACTAGGCCATCGCCTCCCCCAGTCAGTAGGTCTGGCAGCATCTGTGGGGAGAAAGCAGAGTCAATATTTTGAATCCGATGACTTCTTGATGAAGAGTTCTCGTGAAGGTTCAGTGTAGGTCTCTTCAGAGTCTTCTAAACTTCAATGTGTACCGGTCCAATCTGTTCAACTTCTCATAAGAAATTCCTCCATGCGCAGGATCAACCCAGTAGACCTTCTCAGACTCTCCAACCGTTGCCTTCACACAAGGGAGCACTGCTGCTGATGCTAACACAACAGTGTTGTGTTTTTCTGAAGAAGGATCCCAATCTGAAACGTCAGCTTTCCTGCTCCTCTGATGCTGCCTGGTCTGCTGTGTTCCTCTAGCTCCACACTGTTATCTCTGTCTTGCATCTGCAGTTCTTGCTGTCTCTGGTGACAGTGTTGTTGTAGTTTAACTCCTACTGAAATGGTAGTCAAATGGAGATGTCACTGCACAATATGTCCCACTACCATTCCACAGTTAAACTTGTTCAGCACCTTTATTAATCAACATGTGCACAGTGGTTTTTACATCTCACAAAAGAAAAATTGAGGCAGAGTCTTCCCATTTAGTTTTTGTAGTGTGGTGCCTCTTTGCCCTAACTAATATAAGTAAGGGTTGTGTTTGGAGGGGCCTGCATACTGGAGAAATTTTTCTGTGCCCACGGGGAATATTCTGTTCAGAGGTGACATGCCCCTGGGTGGTGGTAATGGAATGATAATGGTTAATTCCTGAGGAAGTTAACAAATACATTCTGATTTTAAGTACTGAGCTTCAGTCTTTCATCTCAAGCTATTGTAACCTGAAGCTGAGTTAGTTAATTGAACTAGTTCCAGAGATAGCTGTCTCTGGGTCTGCCTTCCTTTCAGAGTTAATGTTATTTGTTGGGTTTCACAAATGACACACAACCCTAAAATTGATTTTGTTTGTTGAGAACTTAGAAGATAGAAAAAAGTGCAAGCAGTAGAGTGCGGGCTCTATTCAATAGAGATCAGGCTGCTTATTGACCATTCGTGATGCTATCAGAAAGTTAACGTCCGTTTATTCACCCAGAGTTTTACTGCTGCCTTGCCTGAGGGTTTGGAAAATCTCAATGAAAAAGCCTAAAGATTGACAACAGAAAATCTTTGCTTTTTGTTAAGAAAGAGAATGGATGTAACTCAACTAAATGGTTAGAATTGCCTTTGGACACTGAATTATTTGGGCAGAGCAGACGTTCAAACTATTTTTATCAGGCTTGGTGCCTGAGATCTCGGCTATTAAATGGCAGTATGCCATCTCTCAGATGAAGTGGTCTCTTTTTTTCAAATACATTTTTAACTTAAGATGCTGTCAGTCCTATTGAAATTAGCTACCAAAGGCACGTTAGCACCTGCCACAGAGTTGAGCTGCCTTGTTTCACATTCAAGTTTGGAAGCTTCTCTGTTTCTCGTATTCAATCTTTGCTGATGTTTGTATATTATTTCTGTGTTAAATTGCTTTAGGGAACCACAGTAATTCAGCATTGCATGACAAAGGGAGGCAGATAGATGTGATATGGTTACAAGCCATCTGTTATACAGTGCTGCCTCCAGTTAATAACTTCAGTCTTGTCGATTGGTCTAATTACTTGTTATTCAGTTGATATTTAAGGGCACGTTCCTAGACGCTGAACTTAATAAATGGTTGTATAAAAACATATTTTTCTGTCTCTTGGGTATTCGGCTAAAGATGTTGCACTTCAGTTTTCTTCAATGATGCTTGGGACGCTTGTTCCTCTGAAATATCAAACCAGACAACAGCTGTTTTCTTTTCACTGGTCTCATAGTACAGGCTGTACCAGATTGAACCTTAGCCAGAGTTTGCTCCTCTATGGAAAGAGAAGGAAAATAAAATAAACATGCCTTTTGTCACATGTTGGTTTTTGATGTGTTGTTTATTATTTGAGCTGTAATTGAAGCATCCACGTTTAATTGTATCAATAGTGAGCATTTTGTGAATCTAATTGCCTCCTAGGCTTCATTTTATGCGGTGAACATCTCTTTCTCTCTTGCAGATTGTCCTGGCCACCCTGTCTTGCTGCAGAACTCTTCAGCCTTGCTTCCTTGTCACAGTGCAATGGATCCAAAGAAACAGCTTCTGCAGTCTGTGTTCTGTGTGTGGCTGACAGTTGTTCTCTCATGTATCAGGGCAGGTAAGCCATGCTACATAATGTGTGACTTGCTTAATTCAACAATTTCGAAATGTCAAGACACATCACTGATCACATCAACATGGGGCACTGCTAAACAAATAGCTTGATAATGAAAATCATCAAGTGGCAAAAAAAACCATTGGGTTTCAAGTTTCTCCTATCTACTTCTCGTCTTATAATGTCTGATGTAATTTGAGTATTCCCAAAGTTGTGGTTCTACTTTCCCATCTAGCATTTTCCTGGTTAGGAAAATGGCTAACTGACAACTGGTATAAAATTTACCAAACTTGATATTTATGGCCTTATTGTTCACAGCATTAGCATTCAAATGATAAATGGGCTAATGTGGCATTACTCTCTGAATGAATCATTTACTTTAAATGTTAAAAAATCAATACAACATTTGTGTATGAATGAGTTGAATATTCATGTATCAAAGAATTGATCTCTAGGATATTATGCCTGAATTATGCCAAAATCATGAATGCTGGTAACTTCATGAATGCCCAACTTGTGTGCTGTACACAGCTACTGAAACCTAGGCAAAGCAGTCCTATTTGCACCAGCATTTTTTATTGCCATAAAATGCTGGATTTATCTGAATCAACATTTGTAAGTAGTAAGGAGGGCTCAGGGTTGATGTTTTGCCTATATTTTTGTCATTGAGTTCTGATGAATGGTTCTGTACTCAATATCATAATCTGTTTATTTTTACAATTACTGATTGTCCTATGTATTTCTTGCATTTACTATTTCTAGCAATTGTAGTTTTTCTTTCTTTTGTATTATTTTTATTCACTGTTTTGTTCTGTTTCTGCTTGGACCTGGAAATTGGACGGAAAGCTTAACTCATGTATCTAACAGATCGTGTGATTCTATCAAATAATGGGAACTGGGAGTAATTTAACATGTCCCCTAGTGTGGTACATAGACAGTTTCTGGCACCCAGTATCATGCATGTTAGTGGATGACACAAAAATAAGTGGGAATACAAGTGGTGAGGATGACACAGTGTGCAGTGGTATCTAGACAGGTCAAGCAAATAGGCAAAAAATTGGCAGGTGGAATGTAATTTGGAGGAATGTGAGATTATGCACTTTGACAAGAAGAGTAGAGGTGCTGAATATTATTTAAATGGAGAAAATCTTTGCAGAAAGCAATGGAACAGAGGGATTTGGGTGTCCTTCTCCATGAATTGCAAAAAGTTAGCATCCAAATTCAGTAGACAGTAGGGAGAGCAAATGGAATATTGGCCTTTATTTCAAAGAAATGGAATATAAAAATTGGGAGGGTTTGCTAAAACAATGCAAGGCACTAATCACACCACAAGTAGAATACAGTAAAGGATTTTAGGCCCCTTATCTTAGGAAAGTTATCCTAGCATTAGAGGCAGTCCTGAAAAGGTTCCCTAGGTGGCTGTTAGGTATAGAGGCACTGTCTTAGAAGAAGAGGTTGAGCACTTTGGGCCCATAGTATTTGTCTGTCATTTTTCTATATTCCAATCATATTGAAACAAACAAACTTCTTAGGAGACTTGTAGGGTAGATGCAGAAAAGTTGTTTCTCCCTGTGGGAGCATCTAGGAGCTGAGGGCTTAATTTCAGAATTAAAGGTTGTATAGCTAAAACAGATGAGGAGGAATTTCTTCTGAAGGTTGTGAATTTTTGGAATTCTATGCCATAGAGGACTGTTGAGGCTGTGTCTTTAGGTATATTTAAGGCTGAGATTTTTTAAATCAGTAAGGGAATCATGGACTGAATGGCCTACTTCTGCTCCTACGTCTTATAGCACCATGTCTGTAATTGTTTTTGGAATGATCACTAGAATTGGCCTCTGTGCCCCTAGGCTAAAAATGTTAGGGTGGACTGCAAACCCTTGTATGATGAATCCAATTAAAGAAGTTCACTTTTGGTAGAGTTATGGTTTCATAAGTAAGGGCAATTCTAACCAGTATTTTTTTTTTCTTTTTATGCAGACCTGGCTCCTCACTTCACAACAGAACCCCTGTCCACAATCCAGAAACTAGGGGGACGAGTTCAACTTCGCTGTGCTGCAGAGCCTGCCTGGGCGCGCATTACATGGCACATCAACGGAAAGAAGTTAACCAACGATGGACAGAATGGAATAGCGATCCACTTTGGGTCATTGACTATCTCACATCTACAGACGTCCCATGTTGGGAGATATCTGTGTGTGGCAAGCAGTTCTGTCGGTGCAATAGTGAGCAGACCTTCTTCCATTACCATTGCAAGTGAGTATCTTTTGGGAAATAAGATAACTTCAGTGCAGATTGTTTGAATGAGATGAGCTTTAGTTTATGGGAATCCTTCAATCTATTAAAACTGTGAAAATTTGACACTTTTAACTGGTTGAGTATACCAGGATTCAATACTGAGGTGTATTGGAGCAGTTGTTTAATCCCACCCTCCTCTGTATGCTAAGTTTCCTGTTTCGACTAGACTGTTCAGTGCCAAGCCACTTGACTGGAGCATGACAGAGACCTAGGATTAAAGTGACATTTTTTTTGGAGCTGGAGCAGAAGATACTTCAATGGATTGCTTTCTGTGAAGAAATTATGTCCTTTTTTTAAAGCTATTTTGATAAAGATAGCATATGTCAAATAAAAGGAAAGTAATGAGGATGCTGGGAATTTTAACAAACACCAAACATTGGAGAAATGCAACAGGTCTGGCAGCATCTGTGGAGAGAGAAAGAGAATTAATGTTTGAAGTTTAGTATGACTTCTTCAGAACTTGGCTCTGAGAAAGGGTCATTGGACCAGAAGTGTTGACTCGGCTTTCTCTCCGCAGAACTCTAAGATTACCCAGCAATTTCTGCTTTCGTTTCTGATTTCCGGCATCTGCAGTTCCTTGTTCCTTTTTTTTCTCATAACGAAATTTTTTTTAGCTTTTATTTTGCTAATCCTTGTGTAAGACTAAACCTGTTCAAGTGTAGACACTGTTCACATTCCTGCTAAAGTATATCTAGGATGCTCAATTGTGGGTGCATGAGAGCAAACCTGGAGTTGACTTGCGTTTTTTTTTAAAAATCCTCTCCCCTTCTCTTTAACCTCTGATCGTCCCCTTTCATATAGAACCACTCAACTAAGATTTCATCTTTATGCAGTATGTTCCGAATAAGCAGTAGATGTGTCCCCTTAACAATGGTTGAGTATGAAAGAAAATTAAAAGCAAAGATGGTGAATTTCACTTGCTACCTGCCTCTTCTAAGGGCATTAATGAGACCTTTCATCCTGCGAGCAGATTTGCTGTTGACTTGGAGAGAAGAATCAATGGGAATAGCTTTAGTTATAAAAATAGAGCTGACTGCTCAAAGGAAACTGATGTAGCAGGAAGTGACCTGACGAATGACCTGCTGATTGGGATACTTAAGGAAACATTCCCTATCTCCTAAAAGAGGGGAGAGTTTGGCTCGTGTATATTTGCAATCTGTATTCCTGTTCAAATTGATTTGCGAGAAACCTGTGTTTCTTAAAGAAAAATTTATACATTGAGGAACTGGCCTTCTGGAAGTGCTTCACAGCCATATAAAAGCTATAAGAAGTTCAATTTCCCTGATTAAGAAACGGTCAGACCACACAGGTAGCCTGCATAACTGGGACCTACTGTAAATGTAAGCATCTCGCAGCCTCTATTAGTTTGACCTGAGTGCACAAGAAGTATTAATTATTGATGCTGGCAACTTGATGAAAATGCAGAGAGCAGAGTAAAGCATGTTGAAAGGCACAGCTTGGTGTGTAAAATTCTGGTTTTCTATATAATCTTGGGCTGTTGGAGCTCAATCTCAGGCCTTCTCAATCTCTAACTAAGGCTCACAACAGCCCCAAGAAACAAGAAAATCAGAAGAGGAAATGTAAGCTATTTATCAAATGACCCTCCCATTTGGATGGAAGGCTGTGATTTCAGGATCTGTGCAGATTCTGAAAACCTGGAACTAGAGATGTTTCAAATATGTGGTCAGGAAATGAAGAATAATTTCTTAATTCCTTCCCTTGCCTTCCCCTGACTGCCCAAGTAACATTGCAAACAGTGAATAGAATACCACATTCCCGATTGAATAAAATCATCAAATGCTTGTTAATTCTCTGGGTTATTTTCTACCTGTCACTCCTTTTTCTTTCCCTCTTCTACCTCTGTTTGTAGTGACTTATGAGGATTGCATATCAGAAAATCAGATGCACATTAGACCTGATTATCCCACTAGCCAAAACAATACAAGGAAAGTGATGTCAGGACAGCAAAATTGCACTTCCATATCATGTGTCTTGCAGCACAGATCAATACTTTTGTTCATTTAATGTCTACTGATACCCTGAAGCTAGCACAGTCACAGCAAAATCTCTGAATTAAATTTAAATAAAATTTTAAAAACCCAAAACCACAAGTTTTAAAAATAAAGAATACTTATCTTTGAAGAGAAAAAAACCTTAAGTAGAATTTTATTGAATTTTTTTAAATCTTGAGGAAAAAAAGTTGAGCGTGTGGAATCGGAATCTCATTGGTGTCAGCCGACACTTTCTTATGCAGAATGATACTATTACAAATAACGTGTACAGTTAGAAACAAGTCAGTTAAACATAGAGCATATGACATCATACAATGTGACTTTGAACCTGTTACCAGAGTTTTGACAAACTAAATGGGAAATGGTTTGATCTATACTCCTAGTGGACAAGGCTCCCTATGAGGAGCATGGAAATGTAAAATCGACTACTAGAAAATAAAAATCCTGCACCTGCAGTCCTGATGTATGCTTGTGGATTATCACAAAATCGCTACCTATTATTTTAAATCTGCATAAAATGGATAGTGGAAAAATCGAACTTTGTCACTGAGAATGCACTAAAAAACATAAAAGTTTTTAAAACTTTTAGATTATTCTTGCTTTTCTGATCACCGGGATCTGGCAAATTTGTTTTAATCTTGCTACTGGTGTTTAAGAGCTATCTATATGGATCAGCCACATTACTGGGGTACATTTCTTTCTGTTCAGAGCAAACATTTGCATGAGTGCAAGTCAGCATGGTAACATGCAGTCCAGTAACCTTGGCTGAGTGTGTAATCCTGTATTCCTAGAACAGTGTACAAATGGCTGCTATCTCTTAGAGAGGTCAAGTGTCTGAAATTTTAGCCATGCTGCCTGTGTCAGATTTTAGTTTACTGCTGACATTTGTTGCAGTAAATAATGATTTTCAACACTGATCATTGTTATTTGCTCTGTCTTTGCAGGTATAAATGATTTCAAGACACCCAGCCAGCGAGTAGTTACAGTAGACGAAGGAAACACAGGCATCATTGAATGTCATTTACCTGACAGTAAACCTCGTGCATTAATCCGCTACCGTGTGAAGGGTAAATGGTTCGAGCAATCCACAGGTAGGTATGTCCTGGCCTCGGAGCAGATATGGGAAATGTACCATTTTCTCAGTCTAGTCCAGTAACTTCCTAAAATTTTTGTATTTGAAGTATTACAAGCAGCTATTATTGCCCATCACCTGATACAGTACCATAGATGCTTCATTGTATCCCATTAGTTATGATTCGCATAAAGACTGATAACTCCTAAAAAGAAATTGAAGCTTCCAGTCCTAGCTGACAAACTGATTTCATGCTTAGTGATTGACTGTAACAAAAAGACTAAAAGCACTTTTGTGTAATCACCATTTTTGCAGGCAACATGTGTATCTACCTGTAAACAAAATACCCCTTATTTTTAACCCAAATGGAAAACCACTCATAGGCATACTTTATACTGTCCTTTACGTAAACATTCATTTTTCCCAAAATCAGTGCAAAGTGTTTCTTAACTTCAGAAGATTTATTCCTGTTCCTTTTCTTACGTTGGTAACTTGCACTTTTAGACCTGACTTTTACATATAGTTTCCTATTTCAGAATACACCCCAGCCCTAGCTAAGTGACTGTTCCAATCTTGTTTTATCTCCCCAAAAATTTATTCTTTTGAATCCAAACACAAAGTTCTACCCTGTACGCCTGCCCGGCAAAAATTAGAGACATTTTAACATCTACCTGCTCCCTCAAAACGCATACAGACAGACTCCAAACGCACTATTTGATATTCTGCGCTATTATAGGAAAGCCTGTAACCTGATCTTTATAATGGCCTCCTCTGTTGTTCCCCATAGCAACATGAATCACATGGGCCTTGACAATTGATAGAAATGTTAATTAGCTGTTCTTGAGAGCCCAACTCTCTCTCTCATTAGAATTAAATGGATGTTTAAACAACTGGTTACAACCTGACGTTCCTCACATTTTTCTGGAACTTTGAGGATTCTGTCACTCTGTGATTAGCTCACAGACTGCTGCCATTGTTTTGGAGCGTAAATACCTTGTGCCTTCTCCTCAATAAAACAAGGTTAACTTTCCATTGGTCTTCAAAGGTCAACACACCCAGGCTTAGTACCAGGCAGATTTCAGAACAGGTCACATGACTACCTTATTTTATTTTAAATTTAATTACACAGCCCCAAACCACACAAACAATCTTATGAACCCTATAGTTAAATTCCAAGAGAAAGTACAACACAATTTGGAAATAGGTATCATTCCTGTAGGAGATAGTAAGGACTGCAGATGCTGGAAATCACATTCGATACAATGTGGAGCACAGCAGGTCAGGCAGCATCAGAGGAGCAGGAAAGTTGACGTTTTGGGTCTGGACCCTTCATCGGGGCTGGGGAGCGGGAAGGGAGCTCAAATAAATGGGAGTGCTGAGGCTGGGGGAAAAGTAGGTGGAATGGTGATAGGTGGATGCCGGTAGTGAGTTGTAGACATTGGTCAGTGGGAAGGGTGGAGCAGATAGGTAAGAAGGAAGATAAACAGGTTGTATCAGGTCAAGGAGGCGGGAATGAGAGGGAGGGCTGGACATGGGACGAGGCCAAGGGAGTGGGAGGGGGAGTTGAAATGGCTGGCAACCGGAAGGTGCTGTTGATTGGAGCGTACCAAGCGCAGATGCTCCGCAAATTGGTCCCGGAGTCTGCGCTTAGTCTCTCCAATATAGAGGAGACCACATCAGGAGCAACAAATGCAATAGACCAGGTTAGAAGACATACGGGTGAATCTCTGTCGGAATCGCTCCCTTGGCGACATGTCTGTCCTGAGCTGCTTCCACTGTCAAAATGAGGCCACGTATAAACTGGAGGAACAATGCCTTATATTCTGCCTCAGGAGCTTACAGCCAAATGGCCTCAACATAGAGTACACACCAGCTTCAAAATCTCCCCATGTCCAGCCCACCCTCTCATGCTCGCCTCCTTGACCTGAAGCAACCCATCCATATTCCTTCTCACCTATCTGCTCCAACCTTCCCATTGACCAATCTCTACAACCCCCTATCTGCATCCACCTATCACCATCCCACCTACCTTCCCCCAGCCCCACCCCACCCCCACCCCAATTTATTTCTCAGCGCCCTTACCTCTCTCTAGTCCTGGTGAAGGGTCCAGACCCAAAACACCAATTTTCCTGCTCCTCTGATGCTTTCTGACCTGCTGTGTTCCTCCAGCTCCACGTTTTATTGACAACCACTCGTTTTATCCTGGTGGATCCATTATACATTCTAAAGACCCAGCATCACAGATTAGGTAGAGAACCCACTGCTGAAAAAGCATGCCTTTGTTCCAGAAATCTGCCCTCTACTGCATCAGGATGATTTTTTTTTTAGTCATCCTTTATTGTGACGGCTCTGAATGAGACTGAGGATGTGTGTCAATCTTTGGCAAGTTTGTGATTTGAACATGCTGCCACCTTGAGTTGAATTGAAAGTGTCCTAACTCACTTCATGAAGGCCCTTCATAATAACCAGAAGTGGAGAACTTTCATGCCAGTTATTTAATGCAAATTCAAAACCTCGCTAAGAGGGGATGAAGCTCAGTACTGTAAGCTTGGACAGACCTGAAGAGTTGTCTTAAAAGATCTATGCATTTGCTTTGAAAATGTAACTTCTCCACCACCTTTCGGTTAATTTCTGGTCTTCACTCAGGCTACTGATATATAGCGTCATACAGCATAGAAACAGGCCCTTTGGCTCACCTTGTCCATGCAGACCAACAAACACTAAACTGCACTAATCCAATTTGTCTGCACTTGGTCGACAGCCTCCTATGCCCTGGCATTTTAAATGCTCGTCCAAGTGCTTCTTAAGTGTTGTAAAAGTACCTGCCCCCACCACCCTGTCATACAGCATGTTCCATGTTTCCACCAGCTTTTGGGTGAAAAGGTTTTCTTCAGATCCCCTCCAAACCACTTACTCCTCACCTTAAATTTTTGCCTCTGGTCTTAGATATATCTTCCACAGGGAAAAGATTCTCATGTTCTACCCTGTCTATGCCTCTCATACCTCGATTAGATTTCCTCTTCAGCCTCTTCTGCAGGGAAAACAAGCCCAGCTGCTCCTCAAAACTGAGACTTTCAATCCCAGGCAACAACCTGGGAATCTCCTCCGCATCCCCTGCAATGCGATCACATCTTGACGATTGTGTGTCGACCAGAAGCATATAATACTGATACTTAATGATTGTTCTGCAAGACAGAGTTCTTTTCAGTTGTTTTGTCATGCAGTGCAACTATTAATTTTAGTATACAACTACTATAAAAGTAAGGACAGAATTTTTGACTTTAATATGAATTATGTTTACATTCTTTGGTCCAGTTATCTCCTGCCCTTTTTGTCCCACTTCATCGGAAATGTATGTTTGTTGCAGAGTTCCTATTTTCAAAGCAACCAGAAAATGACAATCTGTTGAATTATTATACATATGGAGCATGTGTTCTGTTGAAAGCTGTAAAATTACCTGTCACCAGTAGGGGTGAAGTGGGTAGCTAGTTGTGATTAAACTTTGCAAATCAAAGACATTGTAAACTATGTCACATATGTTATTTCATAGTGAAAGTGTACCACCTCGAATTTGGGTTTTTCCTCACGTTTAAAATGCTTACTGAATTTTTCATCCACCACGACTTACCACTAATTTAAATTTCCACTCTCTCCAAAGTAAGGCTTTAAACAAAGTAAAAAATTTTTTTAAACTTGGAGATTTTACAATAATGTGTTTAATTGTATTCAATGAAGTTTCTTATTAATACTTTCTTTTAAAGGCTTTCTCTAGAAAGTCTCTGTTTTTCTTCGGATATTTTGGCCCAGATCAAATTTGTTGGAATAAAATGGACTGGCATTCCTGCCATCTGGCAGGTTGCAGGTTTCAGTAGCTGCTTAGTTATAATGTATAGTCCTTCTCATTATTATACTCCTATTTTCCAGATAACTACCTAATTCTTCCTTCTGGAAACTTGCATATTCTGAACGTCACACAGGCGGACAAAGGAAGCTACAAGTGTGCAGCGTACAACCCAGTCACAAATGAGATGAAAATGGAACCTACAGGACATAAGCTGCTGATTAGACGTAAGTCTGCAGCCCAGCTGTATTCTCTCAATGTATCCAAACTTGGTTATTGCTGTTTCTGCCACTCTGTACAGCTAATCTTCTTTCATCCATCACATGATCTGACCCCTATGTAATGCTCCTTCATATTAAATGAAGCATTGAACATCCATTTGCTGGATTGAGATTCTAATATTGCTTGAGCACCTCCCAGCTGTCATAACATCATGTGCCTAGGCTAGAATAAAAAAGTTGCCCCTTATCACAAGTGAATACAAGTCTAGAAGTGGACTTAATTGATTCAAATTTATTCACCTGTAAATTTATCTGGTTCTAAACTTTATTTTTTTTTAAATCACTCATGGGAGTGTGGGCATTAGTGGCAATGCCAGCATTTATTGCCTGTCCCTAGTTACCCTTGAGAACGTGGTGGTGAGCTCCCTTATTGAACTGCTGCAGTCCATGAGTTGTTGGTAGACCCACAAATCTGACATGGAGGGAATTCCAGGATGCTGACTTAGCGACAGTGAAGGAATAGTAACATATTTCCAAGTCAGGATAGTAAGTAGCCTGGAAGGGAACTTGCAGGTGGTGGTATTCCCTTTTATCTGCTGCCCTTGTCTTTTTTACATTGAAAGTGATCATGGGTTTGGAAGGTGCTGTCTAAGGATCTTTGGTAAATTTCTGTAGTGCATCTTGTAGATAGTGTGCACTGCCTTAGTGGTGGACAGAGTGGATGTTTGTGGATGTGGTGCCAATCAAGCAGGCTGCTTTGTCCTAGATGGTGTCAATCTTTTTGAGTGTTGTTGGAATTCGCTCATCCCAGCAAGAGAGAAGTATTCTATCATACGCTTGACTTGTACCTTTGAGAGGATAGACAGGCTTTGGGGAGTCAGGAGATGAATTCCATGCTGCAGTGATGTGCAGTTGTAACCATCACTTGCTATGGTGAGTCCAGTTGAGTTCGTGTCAATGGTCACTGCCAGGTTGTTGATAGTGGGGAGTTCAGTGATAGTATCACCATTGAATGTCCAGGGGCAATGGTTAGATTGTCTCTTAATGGCAATAGTCATTGTCCAGCACTTGTGTGGCGTGAATGTGACTTGTCGCTTTTCAACCCAAGTCTGGATATTGTCCAGGTCTTGTTGCATTTAAACATGGACTGTTTCAATATCTGAGGAGTCGTGAATAGTGCCGAACATTGTGCGGTCATATTTGAGCAGCCCCACTTCTGGTCTTATGATGGAGGGAAGATTGTTGGTGAAGCAGTTGAAGATGGTTGGGCATAGGGCACTACCCTGTGCACTAGCCTGCACAGATGTCCTGGAGCTGAGATGACTGTCCTCCAACAACCACAGCTATCTTCCTATGTGCCAGGTGTGACTCGAACCAGCGGAAAATTTATTGAATGATTTTTATTGAATGATTTTATTGTCACATGTATTTGGGAAAGTATACAGTGGGAAGTGTTTTGTTGCCACAGTCCTGCGCCGTTTTGGATTACAAGATGAATAAAAAGAAATTACTTGAATAGAGCTTTTTTATCTTCTGTTCAATTGATAGGAAAATATAACAGCAGAGAAAACATGTTCAACTTTACAGCTTTTCTTGTCAAGCATGGCTCTGGGTTTTTTCGGGTTCCTTGATTCCACGCTAGAGAAATGCAGTTTTGATGTCAAGTTCATTCACTCTCACCTCACCTCTGAAATTCAGCTCTTTTGACCATGCTTGAACCAAGGATGTAATGAGGTGAGGAGCTGAATGAGCCTGGCGGAAAACGAACTGGACATCACTGAGCAGGTGCTGTTTGATAGCCCTGTTAATGACACCTTGCATCACTTTACTGATGATCAAGAGTAGTTGATGGGGCGACATTTGGTTGGATTCGTCCTGCTTTTTTTTATAGAGCATGTACGTGAGCAATCTCCCACATTGTCAAGTAGGTGCCAGTGCTCGTAGCCATACTGGAATGGTGTGGCAATTTCTGAAGCACAAGTCTCCATCATTGAGGATAGGAAATTTATGGAGTCTCCTCCTCTAGTGAGTTCTTTAATTGTCCACCATCATTCATGACTGGATTTCGGAGGGCTACAGAACTTTGATCACTTGTATCTGAGCATTTCATATTTTATAACTGAATCATCAAATACAAATTCATTTCTTCAGTCATTTTCAAATGATGTTCAAATATGTAATAAATTTTAATGTTTAGGGTAACAGACATCCATTGTTCCCCCAATGGGTGCACCTGCAGTCTCTGAAGTACATATGGAGCATGGTCATCACCCTTTCCCTGTGTGCTGGATACCATGTCCTCTTAAAATGAAAAGCATGGATGCATTATAAAAAGGGAATGGGAAACAAAACAGATGGAAGGATGGTCGTCCTCTGTGAGTTAAGCTGTAACCCGCCTGTATGTCTGAAAAGCAACTTTGAAGTTGCCTGATAAAAGCACTCTTGGGAAATGAGAGCAGAGCCCAAATCTTGTTTTGCTAATTCATTGTTTGTTTTTTGTTTAACATGGTAGGTAACATCTCACTATTATTCCTCTAATAAGTAAACAACTGTTTTATCTGATGGTGTCATGTTCAGTCTGATTTATGAAAGGGGGCTTAAATGTAAATGTTTTTGTCATCTTCGCATGTATCCTTGACTTTTATCAGAGCACTTTAGTTTCCCTTTCACATTCCTTCACAGTTCTATTTTCCTCCTTGTTTGTGTTCCGCTGCTGATTATCACTTTCCTTTGTTCTCTCTGGTTTTTGTTTTGGCATAAGTTCTTCTCTCTCAGGCACCCATTCTTTTACTTTGTCACATCATCCTCCAACATTTGACTTGCTTTGTTTTCTCTGTAACCTTTTTTCACTTGCACTTCGGTCACATTATTGCCTTATCAACAGCAGTTGCATGCATTCTCTCCTTTTGTCTGTGCGCTCCTTCACTTTGTTTGGATGCCCTCTGTACAATGAATGTTAGAATGCATGAACCCTATTTGACTGAACTGTTTTGAGATGCCTAAACAGACCAGATTGTGATTTCCACCACTTTTTTCCCCACAGGCCCTACAAACAGCTCTGCGCGTATCATTTTTCCTACAACTCCACAGAATATAACAGTGATTCGGCATAGCCCTCTGATCCTAGAATGCGTAGTAAGTGGCGTCCCCACCCCACAAGTCAGATGGCTAAAAGATGGTAGGGAACTGTCTAGCAACAAGAGGTGGAAACTCTTTCACAGTAACCTGGTTGTTGATCAAAGCAAAACTTTGGATGCTGGGAGTTACTTATGTATTGCTGAAAATGGTATGGGGGAGCCAGTGTCTGCAAAGTACACAGTTACTATTCATGGTAAGTGAGTTTCTCCTATTTATATCAGTTCTTCCCCTTTTCCAACTTTTTCCCTCTTCTGCTGAGGGTGCTGGTTCATCGTTGCCTGTGGCTGTCCTGGTGCCAGCATACTCTCCACTACTTCAACTTAAATGGCTGTTCTTCATCTCCTGAGTTTTATTGTGAAGATATCTGGTATCACTGTGTCCAATGTTAATATTGCCCTCCACTGCACTAGCTCAGACTGTAGAAGGACAACCTGGAGCAGAATTCTCAGATAGTAAGAACTGCAGATGCTAGAATCATAGAGGAGCACAGCAGGCCAGGCAGCATTTCTGAAGAAAGGTCCCGACCCGAAACGTCAACTTTCCTGCTGCTCTGATGCTGCCTGGCCAGTTGTGCTCCTCCAGCTCCACACTGTGTTATCTCTGGAGCAGACATCTGTCTGGTTTATATTCCCATGGTACCGGAGATCCTTTGCTGGCAGGCTTTATACAGACTGCAAATTAATGCTCTCTGCACAGTTCACTATTAACTAAACTGTGGTATTTGACTGTTGAGCACCTGAGTTCTTGATTGGTGCTCTTTGCACACACAATTCTCTGTTGTGTGCACAAAATTGGAAACTGGCCGTTGTTTTTACATTAAGGGACTTTGATATATTTGCAATATGCTGAAGTCAAATACAACAGACTAACAGGGGGAAAAAGCCTTTGGCTGTCACCTTTAATACCCACACAATCATGAACAAGGTGATTACTCATGTAAATGTAATTTAGATGCTGTCTTTAATTTCTTGGCTTGGTGGACGCCAATATATATTGTCCTGATATATTACTGATATACTTCGTTGCTGTGATTCAACACAAATGAATTGTGACCCCCAGGGTACTAACAATGCAGATTGCTTGGAAGCCATTAACTGAGTACTGTGCTCCTCCTTAAAATAGCCTCTACATCATTGGAATCAACCAAGTTAAATTTTAACATCTGAAGTACAGAGGTAGAAATTATCGTCACCTGTATCTAAGTTAGCACATGGCACGTGAGTGTTTAAAAATATGTGCAAGAACAGCACCAAATGTAATTCTACCCTACCGACCCAAAAAGAATCGGTGCACAGTATACAACATTAAGTACAGATCAACCAGATTTAACAAGAACAGGCTCAAATGCAGAGTATTGTTGGAGAGGGAGAGAGCGGTATGCAGTGGGAGAACTTCCTGAAACTGAAATTTAGACTGAGGTGTTAGGAATACCTAGCTTTTTTTTTGTTTAGTACTTCTGTTAGAAGAATCTGCTTAAATGTAAAATTATTTTACTCTTTCCATAGAGCCTGCTACAGTTGTCAAAGGACTGCAGGAGCTGACACTCTCCACAGGATCTACAGCACGTTTAGCTTGTGATTATCATGGAAATCCATGGCCCAATATCACCTGGTATCACAATGCAGTCGCTATTCAAACTGGCATCCGACATTTGGTCTCTGGAAACAGACTAAAGATTATGGGACTTGTTGCTGAAGATGCTGGGATGTATCAGTGCGTGGTGGAAAATAAGATTGGTTCAACGCAGTCGTCAGCTAGGCTCATAGTCCAATCAGGTACACATCATCTCAACAGAGAAAGTTCCTTCCACCCTTTCCACCCAGATTTTAAGCTCATTATTATCAGTCTGAAAAACATAACAGATTATTAATTTTAATGTATGTAATATTTCCATCCGTTAGTGCAGTAAAATGTGAAGGGAATTCCTCAACCAAGCCTAGTATTCAGCAATGCTTTAAAATTATCTGGTACTTTGGCCTCCGCTGCCCAAGCCACCTGGTATCATCAACTTGTCAGTCTGAGTCCGATGAAAGCATGTGCCTCTTGGCCAGAAGGTTGAGTTTAAACCTCCTTTAAATTTGAGGAAATTAATGGGGCCTCCGGTTTAATACCGCTCAGAAAATAGTGTCTCCAATAGTCCAGTCTTTCCTCAGTATATTAAACTCCCAAGAAGAGAATAAGGAAGTGCTCTTAATATCTTGGTCAATATTCCTTCCTCAACCACCAAAGAAAACACATTGTCCAATTGTCATTCATTTGTGAATTGTTGTTAAGTACAAATTGACAGATATGTTTGTCTATAGTATGACAGTGAAAACAAGTTTGTTCTTTCAGAGCTCGAGCACCACGACTATTATTAGCCTCAGTTCAAAGAAACAAAACTGATTTTGAAGCTTTCTTCTCTAAGTATGATGTGTTCTTTAAAAAGATGTTCATTTACAAGTTTTGGAAGGTGTTATTGTCCCGTAACTGAATTCTTATCTCTCATTAACCTTTTTTCTTCCTTATTTTGTCTTTTGCCTAGCATCTGTATTTTGTACCTACTTTGTAAAATCTTTGTTCTTCTCTTCATTATTTGTGGAAAAAATAGAGTGCACCCACTGCTTTGTATGATACCAAGTGGATTCTAGGTTAGTTCCCAGTCTGTGCTGTATAAATTGACAGCAGCTGGACTGGCAACAGGGAAGGCTACAGTTGAAGTTTATTTCCATGAGTTGTGTAGAGGGAATATTCACTCGGCTCTTGCAATGCAGTAGCCTAGAAAATGAGTCTGTGTCTTTTAGGCAGTATTGGAATTGGGCTTGACATTGGTTTCTCTCCCCCTCCCATCATCAAATTGCCTGGTTGCTACTCAGGTTCTCCTGTAAAGAATGACCACTTTGGTGAGATACCACATCCATCAGTGCCTCACCAAAAAGGCAAGATTTGTGAAAAGAAAATGTTCAAGGGGAATCCAAAAAGTCAGTTATTTGTAGCCAACTTCTGTTACTTGATATTATTCAAGAAGAATAAAGTTGTATATGACACTGCAAGATTTGTGGATACTTCTGTTATGGACCAGACTAAACCCTCTCAAAATATATAAAAAAGATAGCCTAGATCCCAACCTTATTGTTAAAGGCAAGTTTAAGTCAGTGTTCCAGATGCAATTCAGTTCGTCAAACTACCAGGCTTGAAGCAAGACACTTGTATTTTTGCTACAAGAATAAAACAAAAGAAAGAAGAATTGGAATAACTTGACTCTATTGGAAAACTTGACAGAATAATAGATGATAATAAACAACAGCTGTTTCAATGTCACAAATACACCATCAGCAAAGGCAAATTCAGTAAAATAGATTGTCTCACAGTCAGTTCTTCAGTCCAGGAGGAAAGAACACTAAGAGAAAACTCCAAAAGAGAACTCAAGTGTTTTGCTGTAGCAGGGAGAGATGTATAGCAGCTTCCAAATCCCAACAGCTGCTGAAAGTTAAATGAAAATCCTGGCTCTATGGGAGCTTGACTGCACCTCTTCATGCTGCTTCCACTGTTCCAGCTTATTAAACAAAAAACCAAGGCGTCTCAAACTGTTTATTTTCTTGGAACATACAGCTGGACACCTCTGTCTCATCCTGTCTTCATTTTGAAAACAAAAGGACAAAATACACCTCTTAAAGACATAGTGTGTCACACTTTATGCAAGATGGAATTATAATGAGAAAAGATTAATTTTTTGTTTATTCGATCTTGAACATAGCAGCATTTGTCCCCATCCCTACTGGCCCTCGACAAGGTGGTGCCAAGCCACCACTTTGAACTGCAGCAGTCCATGCAATATACACCCACAGGCTGATAGAAAAGTGTTTCCAAGATTTTGATCCACAGCCCAAAATCCTCAGGCAGTGATAAAAGGAAGAGCAGTATTGGCCGTTTATAACCTGTAGGCAGCACAAGAACCAGAAGTAGGGGTTGCCAAATGAAATTATTCTGAGTGCCACTGGGGAGAGTGATTCTTGGGAGCATCAAGTATAAAGAAGCAGCGTTAGGCGAGCAGTGTAGTGTTGTGTGCCGTATTTATCTTGCATGTCAATACAAGAATTGCAATCTTCTTCAATAACTATAAGTTAGAAGTTGACAACAGGTACCCAAATCTTTGCTTTTTCTTTCATATTTTCATTCCACAGCTAACTTCCACTTTTCAAGGTACTGATGCATGCAGGATTTCTTCAAAGTGGTGTTTTTTTTGAGTTAATTGGGGAATATTTTGACAAAGAAAGGAGGGGAAGGGTGACTACAGCCTAAAGGCCACAGTGGCTCACTTAGCTGTAGCACTCACTGCGTAACAGTTGATAGCAGGACCCCATTAAATTTCCTGCCGTCAAGGAACATCTCTGTGGACTGAGCAGTTATTTCCCAAAGGCATCATGCTAATTCATGAAATTTGTGGTAAATGCAAAAATTACTTAATTTAGCAAGTAACTCCAGATTTATTACTACTACAGATCAAGGCACAAAACCTGTGATTACCTCCCCACCCACCAATTTGAGAGTGACTGAAGGAGAGTTCGTTACATTGACCTGCAATGCTACTGGTCAGCCGACACCTATCATCCGCTGGTTTGATCGGCACGGACTAATCAGCAATCACCCTTCCCATATTCTCCGGTCGAAATCTCGGAATGGTCAACTGTCTGGCATGGGAAGTGCCAGTTCCAATACACCTCACCTCACTATGTCCAGGGCTGGATCAAGTTCTCTTTACATACGCATTGCATCATTAGAAAGTTCTGGACTCTACATTTGTGAAGCCTCCAACAAAATGGGTTCAGTACAAGCAGAGGCCTTTCTGTCAGTTGGTAAGTTTCATTTGCTCTTCCCGTGTCCTTATGGATCGTGTGATGATATTGTAAACATCACTTCAAGTGATTGATACAACACTTGCCATGCCCAAGTCTTTTATTTTACCTGAGTGTTACCAGAGAAGCAGCTGACCACTTGTGTAAAGAAGTGATTTCAACCATTAGAAAGATTCCAATCAAGAAGAGATCAATTGCAGACTGAGAGGAATGTGGTTAGTGAGTGGTCATTGGAAACATGAGTGTTTACTTAGGTGAGTTTTCTGTTGAATACTATTAGTGTATGTTAATTACTTTCCTTTGGCAATTTTAGTTTCCATGGTGACACTTTTAGGCTTAATTGGGTTGGATTGTTCCCATTGAAACTCGCCTCATATTGAAAAACAAACTAGTTATAATTTTCAAACTCTGTTTTTGCCCTACGATATACTGACATTATACCCCTATCTGAATGTTAGTAGCATTTTCCTACTTCAACCTGTTATTCTTGGTCTTGGATATGTAATTAGCCATTGGCTCTGCTCCTTAATGAACTTGGGTATGACTGCTAAAATGTTTAGGGCTCCAAACCAGTAACCACTAATATATTTTTGATATCTTTTGGAGTCCTTGCATCTGGACACTCTGCCTTGCTTCATTTTCCCCCTTCACCATTCTGGTGTAATCAATGCGAGGGGACTTTTTCCTCACTGGATTGGAGTTGAATGGATAATGAGTCAGTCATATACATGTGTGGCACTGCACTACCCAGTTCCCCAGGTCATTGGTGAGCTCACTGCCATAGCTTTGACTGAAAGCATTAAACAATGGAACGACTGTTTTCTGAGAAGCCTCAGTTAGTTGAAACCTAGTGAAAAATTGAGAGTGACAATCTGACTTACTCTTAAAATTGACCTATACAAAATAACATTGTAAAATGCTGCATTTATTCCAATTACACTACCCTATCATTAAACAACAACACAATTCTATGGATGCCTATGAGCTGGAGTGTTCCGCATCACCTCAAGCCCTCATAAAGCAAATATGAACAGTTGTTTGTTTGCACTATATTATCATCACATAGCTATGATCAACAGTTTAAAAAGAAAACTTTCTTTATTAAATGTTTGCATGTGACTGCAAAACGTGTGCATATGCATGTAAACCAGTGGTTGTGGCATATGTGAATGTAGCACTGCTCAGGTGAACTTGGATATACAAATTTTTAAAGCAACTTATTTTCTATTTTACAGAAGACTCTACAATTTTATTTCTTGCACACTTGCCTATACAGGGTAGGGAATTGAACAGTCAATCAGAAGATAGTAACTGGCTAGTTAAGAAACTTGGTCGGCTACATCACTGACTATATTCATGAGTAACTGTAATTCACAAGCCATTGCCATTAGCACACAGTATTTACAACCCGGTTCAATCACCTGGTACTTCTTTGTATTCCCATATTGCTTACTCGGACAATATATTTTAACTATCAAACCGAGTCCATGCCATACCCTGATGTTGATCCCAAAATGTAAAAAGCCAGAATGTAGTCATTTGGAGACATGTCTCATATTACCAGCCACTAGGATTCCGAGCTCATTATGTGCTTCTTTCATGATGAAAGAGGGTGTGAAAAGTGGTATCTAGCTTGAAAGAAGATCAGGAAGGGATGTGTGCCACCTGTTGCAGCATGATTTCTCCTCAACTGCCAACATGGCAACTTCAAAGCAGAGAGTGACCGAAGAGGAGCTGCAGATCCCAAAATTATCCAGTCCACCCTTTTAAAAATAAAACTTTGTCGTGTAGGACCTTTAATTCACAAGTGCCACATGAAAAGCAGATTCTTTCAACCTGGGATTGATGCCAGATGTGCATAAGGTTAGCACAGCTTGCATTAACGAATGCCTCTTGTACTGTGCTACCATGTTGGGTGGAACACTAAAACAGCAAAATTTTTTTCAGGATAGCTATGCCTGGTCTCTCAAGTTATAATTGCCATAATTCTCTGGCATGAGCCTGTAAAGGTTAACAGTCTGAAATCAACACTGCAAGCTCGACTGTAGGGTTTCAGCTGAAATAAATCGCTCTACTGGACAACTATTTCGCTTTGCCTTTTGGAAATTCTCATTAACAGCAGTCCCATATAGATCAATATCATATCTGTGGAGGTAGTTGCAGTATCTCATGATGTGACAGCTCTGATTAGAAGCTGTACTAGCACAAGAACAACAACCTGAATTTATATAGTACCTTTTACACAGTGAGAATATCAGAATTGTAACACGTAAGCAGCATATCCAGGGTTAAGCATGCTCGCAACTGAATGCTCAAGTATAACTATTATGAGATCAGCTGAGAGGTGCTGGCAGCCTCTCAGAATTGATAGTTTCTTTGTTATTGAGAGACGTGCCAGTTTCAACAAGTGCGGCCCATCCTCCCCTATCCTGCTGCTGCCTGTGGTATTCTAAATAAATAAACGAGAGCAAATGTAATCTGGCTTTAATTAAATGAGAAACGCTGATAGTTTTTGTTGGTTTTCTTGCAACAGGCAGTGAGTTGAACATCTGGGGACCATGGAACATGTTTTGTCTGGCTCTGAATAGCAACTTTACTAGTTTGAACTAATGGTATTTTAATGTGGGGGAGGGGCGAGGAGGAATGCTAAGCAGTCAGCATTCCGCATGCTTGTGGATTTTTGAGATTGGCACCAGTGGCTGTACTTTTGAAAATAATCAGTGCTTTTGTTGATTTTCCACCAGTTCCCTTTGAAACAAAGGTCAGAGTTGATGACCAAGAGCCCACACCATCAGTGAGAAGTTCAGATATTGTTCAGGGTGATGAAGGTGATGAAACTATCGACTATGATTATGCCTATGACACTATGTCGCCAGAGCACCAGCCGACGAAAGAATCCATCTCCCCTGTGCCAACGCAAAAGACTCCACCCGATGCTCCCATCATTCTCAGTGCTCCATATACTACCAACCCAGACAGCTATGACTTAATTTGGAGAGCAGGAAAAGATGGTGGCTCACCCATCAATGCCTACTTCGTCAAATATCGCAAGGTATGATGTTGATACACAACCACACATATGATAAGACTTAGAAGGGACTGCATCACGAGACCCAGGCTCAAGATTTAATGTAATCTATTGGGATGAGACTCTTGCAGCACAAAAAGAGGCCGTTCCGCTGATAATGCTTGTGATCGTTGTTTGAAGGAGCAGCTATGCTCAGTCCCACATCCATACATGTATAACTACTTCATCCTGAATCATCTGTCCAACTCCCTTTTAAAGTCATTCGTAGAATCAACTCTTACCACCTTTTCCAGACAAGCTCTACAGATCCTGAAAATTCTCAGCGAAATAATTTCTTGTGGTACCCCTCTAATCTCTTCTGTTTGTTGGATTGGAATGTGAAATTGTTAATGTGTTTATGCTCGACTTTATATATCTAGTACATGTTGAGCTCCAGGTTAATTCCCCAACCTTCTCACCTTTTCGATCAATCCTCAGACTTCATTTGCACGCTGTCTGTCAGTTGCATTACTTACAAATTTGAAGGTCAACTTCCATATATAATACCTAGTTTTACCTATCTGCTTTCCCCTCAATCCCAAAGAGTTCAACATCAAGCCCTGAATGAGTCATGGTTTCCTCGAACTGAATATTATGAACGTGCGCGCACACACAGCGGCTTCAACTTCTACGTCTGTTCTACCACCTATTTTTTTTTAGTTATTGCTATAACGTTATCTCTCACCTTCACTACATTGGCCCCCTCATTGGAGAAACCATTACACATACAAACTTTTATACAAAACCTCTCACCCATTTTTGAAAGCAAACTACTAAATAAGATGATGTGCTGTTTCTAAGGCTAGGAGAATTCTAGCTTATAATGCACTGTATACACTCGCATACTTCACCAGCCTGGACCCTTTATGTCTGCAGACTCCACCCGGCTTACCTTGAGATAAGTTAGAGAAGTCAGTTGTTGTTATTGATTCAGGGAGTTTACTGGTTGGCAGGTCTTCATAATTTCACTGCACCTGGAGCAAAATAAATGACATGAATCATTTTTTTCTCTTATTTAGGTATATTGAAGTGTCACAAACGCTGTATAAGTGTATAAAATTATCAATTTAAGAGGTGAAATATACTCTTAGACAGAAAAGCAGGATCAAGAATACAGAGGAGCACCTTCTGAAGTTGACTTTTTTTTATTTGCAAGAAATTATAAACCTGATCTATAATTATTACCCCCAATTCTGTCATTAATCTTATGAGCTCATTGTCATTCACACAGAATGCATAACATTGTTTTGGCACCCCTTCCTCTGCCCACTACATTTGCAGATGGATACCACTATTAGCCACATGTTACTAATGTAGAAATTAATTTCCTCCATCTCAGCCAACAGAAGCTCTTAAATCAATCAGGATCCCTTATTTGGCCAGATCTCCCATTACAATTTTACTTGCTGGGAATTATTGTTTCTTGTTCAGAGCTGTCTGTCAGATGAAGCAAGGAGTAGTAGTGGAATGCCAACCTTCCTGGGGCCATGTTAGCCATATTATTTGGAGGGTAGAGGTGAGCAAGCAGGCCATTGAGAATGTTGGGGAATGGGACAAAGGACAACAGTGCAGAAGTCTGCAAGATATGATATTGGAAATTTGACATCAGATTTTTGTTTTCATTGTAGCTTGACAATCGTGGGAATATGTTGGGAAACTGGTACACAATCCGAGTTCCAGGCAGTGAGAATGAATTGCAACTTGCCGAGCTTGAGCCTTCTAGTCTATATGAGGTATTGATGGTTGCACGAAGTGCTTCTGGTGAAGGACAGCCAGCCATGCTGACATTCCGAACTGGCAAAGGTACAAGATAACAATTTTGCATAGGATGTATTTGTAACTCTCGATTTCTGACACCAGCATTTCTGATGGATCACTGGGAAATATGCAGTATATGATTTTGATCTATACAGATCAGTAAAGTCAGAGGTTCAATTTTTGATTTGTACTGTTCTTAACGGTAGTGACTGGCTGCAATTATTAGCTCCTGCTTCTGTATTGAGAATCCAGAATTTACGATTTAATTGAGATGCAGTGATACTTACTGCAAAATACATTTTTAAATGGCACGTGATGATAGATTTAGGCCCGTGTATAATATGGCGTGAGCAAGCAGTTTGAAGGTTTATTCAATGTAGGTTGTAATTGTAGATCGTTTTTTGTGATTTTATTGTTGATTTTTAAATTGATATTGCCAGCAGGATCTTAGTTGCTGCTGACCAAAAAACTTTGATTTGAAATCTAAATTTTTGTACTTATGATCTTAACTCAGTATTTCCTACTACTTGGGGCTGAGACAGACAGATTTTGGTGACTCAAGGAATTGCGGATGTTAGAGCAGGTGAAGAACAGAGTTGAAAGCCCCAAGTTCAACTGTGATCATATTGAATGGCAAAGTTTGATTAACTGAACAGTTTTCTGCTTCTATTTTGTGTATTAATTAAAGACCACCTTGTCCTACTCTCAGTGTAACGGCTGAGCAAAGATGTGAATATTTTCTGTAGAATAATACATTCCCTTAGTTCCAGTGTGATGCTAATATCTATTCCCTTGCTCTTCGACAGGGCGATCCTCCACCTCAAAGAAAAACTCTCGAACGTCATCACAGCCCATCGGAGTTCCCAAACAAACACCAGTTGAGGATAAGACTAGCACTAATTTTGGTGTGGTAATCCATGATCCAGCACGACACAACAGAGGTAAGGTTCTTCAGTAGGCCCGACACTGTATTTACTTTCCTGAAGCATTTGATCTTTTTTTACACAGCTGGAAAGTTGTTGATGCCACTCAACCCTGATCTTAACTGTAACTTGACCTTAACCATAGCTTAGCACTAATTATCTATGCTTAACTTTAACCTAACCCTTACCCAATTCTTTCAATTCCCCCTTTAAAAATCTTATCTAACCTTAGTCTGAGCAAATCCTGACTGCAAAATTGATCAACCCAAATCCATTCCTTATCCTAAGAAACAGTAACCTCCCCATCCCATTTACTAGTAATCTAACCTAGATCCTAGTTTTTTATGGTCTTTGTCTAAACTCAAATCCAATGTGAACATTAGTTGAACAGTTACGCAATCCGAATCCAATCAGTCATTAGTTTCAGTTATCAAATTATAGTTCTCATCCTATCCTTAAACCAGTGCTTCCCAAATATTTCCAGCATTTTAATGCTTCAGACTTTGTGGCTTCAGAGTGGAAATTTAGTGGGTATTGGTTACAATACCTGATAAGCATGGAGATGTGAAAGGAAGGATAGTTGGACTTCATGGAAGTTTTGGTTGCTGTGTGGGGCATTAGCCCTTGTGGGTGAACAGTAGCGGGCAGAGTTTGTCAAAAGACAAATCCTCCACAGAGAGAATGAACATCTACTACTCGCAGGATCTTTTTTACAGCCCTCGGAAAGCAGTCTTTAAGGCCACTCCTTCCAGAAGGAATAAGAAAGATTGTAAAGGGACCTTAAACTTGCGCCCCTCGGTCTGAGTTCAACAGCAGTCATTGCTGCTCAGATCTCGCAACCCCAAAATCTCATCTTGAGACCCTGCTGAGGATTTTGATCTACAGCTGTCACTCTTGTCCCAATTCAATAAATAACCAAGCTTTAACTGTAACATGCTGACTTTCTATTTCAGGCTGTCAATCATGCCTTTAATGCCATGAAACCACCTAAGGACTCCACAGGAGATTAATAACATTTGACATTTAAGCTACATGAGAAATACGGGTAGATAATCAAAAGAATTGTGCCAGATCTGGGTTATAATGAGCATCTTAAAGTAGCAAGAAGTGGAGTAGTTTCAGGAAAGCATTCCAGGGCTTATGATCTTGGAAGGCTGGCCACCAGTGGTGGAGCAGTTAAAATTCGGCATAGTGAAAAATCCAGAATTAAGAGAGCACAATTATATTTGTGGTTTGTGGAATGGGAGGAGATTACAGCACCAGCAAGGGGCATGGCCATGGAGTGATCTGAAAGCAAGAATGGTATAAAATTCATTATTTCTGTAAAGAATATATTACAAACTTTAATGGGCAGGGCATAATATGAAGATGAGAAAAGCATACAAGCAATGCAGTGGAGATGGTAAAAATGTGAGGCAATGTGAATGAATTTTGGTTGAGATAGTGGTGAACATAGGGGAAAGGAGACTGAAGATCACAGTTTTAGGTGGGAAGACTCATACTGGTGCACGTTCTATTCCATTAGAGTCATAGAGATGTACAGCACTAAAACTGACTCTTGGTCCAACTTGTCCATGCTGACCAGATATCCTAAATTATCTGGTCCCATTTGCCAGCATTTGGCCCATATCCCACTAAATCCTTCCTATTTGGGTACCCATCCAGCTACCTTTCAAATAGTGTATTGGCACCTGCCTCCACCACAGCCTCTGGCAGTTCATTCCATACACGCACTACTTTCTGCGTGAAAAAGTTGCTCCTTGAGTCCCTTTTAAATCTTTCCCCTCTCACCTCTAAACCTATGCCATGTAGTTTTGAACTCCCCTACTGTGTATTCACCCTTTCCATGTCCCTCATGATTTTATAAGGTCACCCCTCAGCTTCCAATAGAACATAGAACAGTACAGCACAGTACAGGCCCTTTGGCCCACGATGTTGTGCCGACCTATTATCTTCCTAAGATCAATCTACTCTGTATACCCTACAGTTTACTATCCTCCATGTGTCTGTGCAAGAGTCGCTTAAAAGTCTCTAAAGTGTCTGACTCAATTACCACTGCCGGCAGCGCATTTCACATGCCCATCACTCTGTGTGAAGAACCTACCTCTGACATCTCCCCTATACCTTCCTCCAATCACCTTAACATTATGCCCCCTCATAATAATCTTTTCCGCCCTGGGAAAAAGTCTCTGACTATCCACTCTATCTGTGCCTCGCATCATCTTGAAAAACCTCTATCAAGTCACACTCCAGGGAAAATAGCCCCAGCCTATCCAGCCTTTCCCTATAGCTCAAAACCTCCAAACTTACCAACATTGTTTGACTTGTATGGACTGTATGAAATCTATAGGCTGGGTAATATATTGGCACTGTCCTTTCCTTTTTATTTTTCTCTACTGAAAATGAATTCAGTTATTTGATGTATTTTTGATTTCAGTTTATAATTTTTTGAAATAATTACAGATGCTGAAAGGTAACAGTGAAGGTGGGCTATAGGCCATGACCCAGTATTTAGACTGTTATCTCTGATATTTCAATGTAACATTTGATAATATGATGTCAGTGGAGAGGAACTGATTTGGAAGCCAGCTGCTTCCTATAGTTCAGGATTGCTGCCAATACTGCTGCCTGATTGGAGTTAACTGTCCATTCTTGGTTTCAGAATGTGTGGTCAAGGATGGTGGAAATTGAGAGTGAAGCAGCTGTTGCATCCTACTGCCCATTGCATCACTGAGTAAGCTTTGCAACATGGTTCTGTAATCTCCAAAAACAAATTCCATGACACTGTCCAGCAAAAGTTTCTGTTGCTTCTAAAATGAAGAACAGACTGCTGATTTCAAGAGTAGAAATATAGCTATTTCTCTTCAATAACAATTCCTTCACATCGGTTTAACTGCAATACCATGCACTGAGATTCCAGCACCAGGAGTCAACTGAAACTCCCACGTCAAATTTTCAAAAATCTAGGTTTGGATTCAAGGGATCATTTTCATCTGTTCTGGTCATTTTTGCTTTGAGTGTCTTTTATCACCACTGTAAATGTAGTGCAATATTGTCTATGCTAATAATGTTATTGACATCTACTGCTAGAGTTTGGAGCTGCTTCAGTCTTTATTTCTGCATTCACAAATTGTCCGATCTAAAATATTTAAATGGAAATTTCAGTGGGTAGTTGCCAACTGACTGGGTTTAACACTAAGAACCATAGTGCTTTGAAAATATGCTTTTACTAACATTTGTTATTCTGTCTTCTTTGCTGTCTGCTTTGCTCTCTAAAGTTGCTCTGAATTCAGTAAGTATTATTTTGGCAGAAGCCTAAACTAACATGTTATTGATTTCAATGTACGTGATATGTCTGTAATATATTTGAGTACAATGGCAGCTCTTTTTTTTTTTGCATGAAAATACAAAAATATATGGCATCTTATAGCTGTTCAGCGTGCTCCCCTTTTGCAAGAAGCCTAGAACCAAGGCAGGTAGTTTAAAAATTAAGGGTCTCCTAAATGAGAGAGACAAGATTCTTTTTTGTCTGAGGGTAATTAGTATGTGGAATTCCCTTTTCCAAAGAGCAGTGGAGGCTGGGTCATTGAATATATTCAAGACAAATTTGATAGATTTTCCATTGACTAGAGAATTAAAAGTTATGGCAAGTGGAGAGGAAAGTGTAGTTGAGGCCACCAATCAGATCAGTCATAGTATTGTAGAATGGCAGAATAGCCTCAAGGGGTTGTATAACCTACTCCTCCTGTGTCGTTGTGGTCAGTGTTGGAGTAGTGTGGAGACCTTTATGTAATACCCAAACTGTTGTATACTGGATCTCAACACTTTACATTTCAGCCTTAAAATATTCTAGAATTATTAATTGGCCATTATTTTTCCAGGTATCTTTAGCTCTACCAGTAGGAAAGTTTATTCATTTGGACATGCAATTCCAGGGAAGACATTCCTGCTGGATGTGGAAAACATGTCAAAAATTCACTTAGCTATGTTTCTGACACTAACATGACAGTTTACTGAAAAAAGTCCTTTAAAACTGTTAGAAAATCAAACATGAGGGCTTTTTCTTCCCAAACATTATTCTTGTATTCAAACTGGTGGAATCAAAAAGGCAGAAGACAGACAGTGCAGAGTTTTAAAACTGTAATCATGTTCCATCTTTTTTAAACTTCAATCGTCTTCCAAGTTAAAATAATGAAAACTGAACACCAAATGTACATGCAAATATTTTGAGGCTAATTTCATTTTTGAAGATTAATATTCCAATAATAAAAATTTCTAAAATAAAACCAAGAACTGTGGATACTGGAATAAAAATGTGGTGATAAAAATTTCTGATGTTTGGGTAACTTTGCATCAATAATATTACATATTTGTGTTAGTGCGTTATTTTAGAAACCTACAAAATCGGTCAGGCCAAAATGTTTCTCTGAAATGACTGGTAATATAATGGTTTAATGTAGCATAACATCAGTTAGTCTGGAGCATGAGATAATGAAGGCCTTCTGTATTATCTGAAAGGCAAGATTGAAGCATGAAACTAAAGCTCAAGAACTGCTTTTTAAGTATGTAACACATTAAAAGGAAAGTTAATATTTTCCCTATCTGACATGTTTTCCCTGTGCTCTGTCCTATTTCCTCCTGCCAACACTGATTGTATCCTACCATAAAGTTTCTGCCAATGCTGTCTCTCTAAGGCAGTTTGGGAGGCACTTTCTGAGATTGGCTAAGTGGATAACCTGTCATTCTGACATTCCCTGCTTTCTTTGTGAGATCACTTGACAGCGCGTCCTCTTGAAAGGACCAGAAATGGCCAACAGTTTTGAAGTCCCACCACTTTGTGTTTGGCCTGTTCTATAGAGTATTGGTCACCTGCTAACCATTTGATCAATACTAATTCTTGCTTATACATTAATAATTTTAAAGATGTCACCATCAATCTAAGTTTTTAGGAGCCATTAAAAAGTTGCAACTAAATATCTTGTTAATACAGAGTGCAGCTGCAAAATTGTTAAGGCAGTATCTCCCAGATGCTAAATCTGCAATAAATTTTGTTGAATCGTTTATGAAAGGCTGTGGATTTGTTTAATATAATGACTCATTGAGACATTTATTTTGCTGCTGAAAGGGTCTTTGTGAAATACTTCCCTTCATTTTTTAGTAATGTGAGAATCTTGTGACAGCACTTTGAATAATGGCTGTACTTCTGGCAGTCAATAAGATGGATTAGTCAAACTGAAAACCTGAATGAGAGTTACCTTGGCCACAGGATGCTGTCTCAGATAAAACACAATTGCAAGAAAAAATACTCCAAATTGCAAACATCATCTGATTGTTGGAACAGCTGGAAATTTACAGTCCTAAAGTGGAGATTTTGTCAAAAAGCCACTTTTTACTCTATCTGCATAAGGCCAGTAGTTAACTGATTTAAGCTTTCCAACCCAATTCTGACACATCTTTTTCTCCTATCTAGTCCCTGAGGCACCAGACCGACCTACAATCTCAACTGCCTCAGAAACCTCTGTGTATGTGACTTGGATTCCAAGAGCGAATGGGGGCTCGCCCATCACCTCCTTTAATGTGGAATACAAACGGATAGGAAGGAACAGTGACTGGCTAGTAGCAGCAGACAGCATCTCTCCATCCAAACTCTCAGTGGAAGTCCGTGGTCTTGAACCAGGTGAAAAAACATGACCCAGAGTAATCAAATTAAATTCTGAAGGACTTGTAAAGGCAGTAACATCTCAAGCAGTTACAGCTGATTTTATATTCTTGTAAACTTCTGTTTTCTTGTGTATTTTCTCTTTGCTCCTGAAAATATTAATGCTTGCAGTCATACAGGCTGATGGGCATTAGCTTTCAGCGCATCCCTTACGTAGCCGTTCGTGTATCAGCCCAAGCATTGTGTATCTGAGCAATCTAAATGTGACTGCATTGCACCTGAGACCAATCTGATTTTACATGCTACATCATGTTCTGGCAAGAATCGGTGCATAACGATGAGGAGCAATATTCTTATTCTTTAGATGTGGGCATTATTGGCAAGGCTGGCATGCATTGTCATCCCTCAATGCACTCGGATGATGACCAGCCTCTTTTGAATCACTAAAGTCCATATTTTATAATGGTTTCTTAAAGTTGATCTGCTTGGTCACTTCAAAGGATAATTGATATCAGTATGGAACTACAATCAATCAAGGTAATCTGGGTGAAGATCACACAATTTCTTTCCTAAAGGGCACTAATAAGCTGTGGGAGTTTTATTTTAAAAAATCACAACTTCTTCTGATATCGACATTATATTTAAAGATTTCATTTCAACTGAATTCCGATTGTGAGACTACAATGGAACGTCTTGTACACCTGTTCTCTGGAGCAGTCCAGGCTTCTAAGTTACTGTTCTAGTAAAATAACCACTATCTGACTAGAATCTAAGACCTCCAGATTTTGCTCCCTCGTGTCTCATTTTATATCATTGCAGTACAATGGTTAAGCACTCTGCCAAGAGTCATTGCTCAGTCCTGTAAGGAGATCTTGTAGCAAATTGTCCTGTGCTGCACTAATTATTACTCCCATCTTGCTGGGGACTTTTGTGCCATAGGTGCTGCATACAAATTTCGTGTGATTGCCATTAATGCCTATGGTGAAAGTCCCAGAAGTGCTGCCTCACGACCATATCAAGTGGCAGGATTCAGCAATCCGTTTTCAGCACGTCCAATCGCAGGTCCTCACATTGCTTATACTGAAGCTATAACCGACACCCAGATCATGCTGAAATGGACGGTAAGCATTGTACTCTCATTGTATGTCATCAATTTACTAACAATGTTGTCAACTTTCAATTTGTCTCTCCCACTTTATAAAAGGATCTCGATTTGGGTTGGCATTCTGTCTTATTAACGGCAAAGGTCATTTTTAATGCAAAACATTCAGTTTTCAGCTGCCTTGTGCAGACCTCATTGTTTAAAAAAAATTGAGGTAATAAAGCGATTAGGATTGAAAGTTGGATTAGTGCAGATAGCTCCAATTAGAGTAAATGATGTAACACAAATGAAGCATTCTTGTCTATTTTGTGTTCACTATAGCATTACTCACCTGCTTCTGAAGGCAAGAAAGATTCTGTGGAGGAACATGTAAGAGCCAATAGCTAAAGTCCTTTAATTAAAACGAAATTCCACTCATTTAGAAACGTTTTGCCTAGATATCAAGTCAAGAGAAAACACTGTCCCTAGCCACAGAACAAGAATTCATTAATGAGAGCTGTCTGGAACATAGAAATTAAACTTGTCTGGAGCAGTGTGTTTTCCTAAAGATTTTCAAAAGAGAAAATACTGGTTTGAATTAGGGTGGATGAATCATTAAACTAAATGCCATGGTTGAATTCAATATTTTGCTCCTTGTTTCTAGGTAAATTGTGAACACATTTAAAAATAACATATCTAAAAGTTTTGTTAGGAATACTGAACATGTAAAATGTATTTACAAAGTGACCACTCTAGTAACTGGAGCACTCTCCTTTCATTCCTGATGTTTGTTTATTAATCTTATAGACTCTTGGAGTTCACTGAGAGAATGAGACAGCAGCCAATCCAGAAAACACATCTGGCTGAATATTTCTAGCATGGCTAGAAATAGAACGATTTGAGCCCATTGTACTGACTGTAATAAAGTATTCTGCAAATGCAAAGATTTTATGTAATCTACCCGATGGGCAGGTTTGCCATATATAGGATCTTTAAACAAAGGAATCACCCAAATGTTTATCCTTAGTATTTTCTAGCAGCAGAGCTTGCCTATTCCTCTTTCTGAAGGTTGGATTTCAAGTCAATCCATTTTTCAAATCACTGAATTTTTTTTTTAAATAAAGATTGGTTGTTGTGCTAAGTGTGTGATCAGCTTGTCCAGTTGCAGAAAGTTTCAGTTTCAATCAGCAAAAGTTCTGCAAATGAGATTAGAAATCAACATCACAAAATGTTTGCAATTTTAACTGTAACGGAGTTTGCTGATTGAGCTCTGCTAAAGGTGGATGGCAGTGAACAATGGAGGTTCTTATCAGTCATAGAAACTCAGTTGCACTTCATTCATCCAGCCACCTCATTAAATCCAAGAATGTTCTCAATAATAATCAGCCCTTTCCTGGCGGTAGGCAAGCAGTAGAACCAGGGAAGTCTGACCCCTCTGTCTGATAGAACCTTCATTTACTGATTTTTAAGCAAAAAAAAACGCCTGTCTTATTCTGAGCAGATTGATAAGATCGTTTGAGATTGGTGGGAGACACGCAAGGCTCTGGAAAAATATTTTCTTGGTTGTGTCATGTTTCCCTCCTGGATTAGGTTGATGGATTGACAGCGAGGCTCTGAGATTGGTTATTACGTTAATTGTGCACTGATTATCATAAAGACTCTGCAGTACATTAACCATGGGAGGACTGGAAACAGTTTATAAGTTAAGGAGCAAGTTACAATAGGCAAATTAAATCTCTGATATTTAACTAATGGGCACAGTGTGTAACCCTTAACCTGCTGTTAAATAGCCTCCCTATACAGATGCACACTCTGTAAAAGGCCTTTCAGTAGGATAACTGTTGCTCACTACTGTTTATTTAAAAGTTTTCTGAATGGTCAGTGCTGATGCATAGAGATGCTGTGGAGGGCACTTGTCACAGAGCCTTGGACCTGTAGTGCCTGATTTTCCAATGCAGGAAATCTGTCACACTGCCTAATTAGAGTTCCTGTATTGAACAGGCTAAAAGCTACTGTAACTGTAGGCATTTGTTATTTTTCAGCAAGGTAAGGGTTACTTGCTGTGTAACTAAAGAGCTTCTGTTTATTCAGCAGGGTAAGGATCACCTTTTTAGAATTTCATTGTTTAATATCAATTCAAGGTTTACACGTTCTGGATTGTTCTGTGATTGCTAGGGACAGCTTAACTGACTTTGGGAAGAACTTCTATATAGACTACTGGTGTAAATCTTGCCTTTACTTAAAGAACCGGTTTAAAAATATTTTTGCTGATGATCGTGTGGAAACATGTCAGAGCACCAGTGTGTGATGCCACCGCAGCAGTATGATCCCATTCTCTTCTGAGCTGCCTATCTCAACTACATCATAATGCAAATGCATCAAATAACTGCTAATCTTCCAAGGCAAGAGCCCACTATACAAAAAGCAGGTCCCATTTACTCTAGAGCTTTTCCAAAATTGAACTACAAACTTTTAGGTTGTTTAATTAATTTAGATTGGAATAATGTTTTAGAATAAATCCTAAAGGGAATCAGATTTTCCCTTCATTTGTTGTCTTCTCATTCTGTACTTTCTTGGCCATGCATCGTTCTGTTATTGTATATTCTTTCAGATTCCAAAGAAGGATGGATTAGTAATTAAAAAAGGCAGTAATGCAGAAGCTGTAAAGCAAAAGGCACATATTGAATCTCCAACTAGAGGTCACACAGACAAGGTTGACATGAGTAAACTGAAAAATGAGCCCCTTGTGTGGAGTCTTGCAGGACAGTTTAGGTGATGACCATTCACCTCTGCAGACATTTGTTTCCCTCTTGTACTGTAGGTAAACTCATTAACCGCACAGCCTCAGTTTGAACAAATGAAACCTTCCTCCTTCAACACAGACCCAAAGTTCGATGGAATTCTTCAATGGCTGTTGCAGGCAGACAACAATCTTGATTACAGGGTCATTTAGTTCCCAGACATGGTAACTCCTTATCACTGTGACTTGGAAATGCTAGAGGACATAGTTCAAAAAAATTATGTGCAAGGAAATTGGTTTTCCTTTCAGATCCAACCCAAATAAGTGAAAACATTGTGTAAATGTACTGTTGGGCATGCTCCACAGCAGCTTCTGTTTGTCTGTAATTGCTCTAACATTGATCTTGTATTGAGCTAGTGCTACCAGCTTTGACACGTGGATTTTGTGTCTTCCTGGCCTTTCCCCAATGAAAAATGAACCATGTTTTTTTGGGGTTGCTACCAGCTTGTAGGCCAGTGCCACTAAGAGTTTGCCCTATATAACAGTGGTAATTGCTCTTCAGAGGTAAACTGTGAAGTACCTTGAAGACAGGATAGATTATATAAATGCTAGTCTGTTCGAATTTTGGTTGCCTGCTGTCTTTGTCCCAAGTACCATGCCAGGATAAATCTGTTTGTTGTTAAAACCAAGATCCTAAACACCAAGGTTTGATTTTATGAAACTGAGCTCCACCTGTGGAGATATGCCCACCAGGAGCATCAGTAATTAAGGCACAGATGCGTGAATGGAAAATCATTTGAAACTTGCACCTGAATTCCCATTATGTAATTACAAAGGGTAAACCTTCATGCTAGACATCTGGTTTTGTTAAATTGGCCCTTGGGGAGTTCCCTCAAACTTTCAATTCACATTTTTCAGGAGTGCAGTTAAAGACTGTTGAAAAACGTTGTGCGATACTGATGTTAATTAGATATCTCTGACCTGAATTTAGATTAAAAAATTACTAAATTTATCCACAAGATAGCAAGTGTCAGAACATCAGTAAATGTGGCATCATTAACTTTATTCCATTGGCAAGCTGATCAATTTAGGAAGCGTGCATTATTTTCCTAGCACCTTTATTGAATTGTCCATGATTCCTGATCTAAACTGAAGCTTGAGCTACGCAATAACTGCTATCTAACCAAATTAGAGTGCTTCCCTCTTGGTTCTGAAGCGGAGTTTCTGAGTTTGATGGGTGGAATAGTTTATCCATCTGCAACAGGAAGGGAATACCAGGCGAGAAATGATATTAATTTGGTGACCCGTTTGAGAAGAGGGAAAGTGTTTGCTTAGGGAATGACATTATTGGCTAATGTGAACAGATCTACTCTTCATTGCAAAGAACAAATAGCCTGACTGGAAAAGAGTTGGAAGTCTTTAAGATAATGAATAAATCGTCTTTGTTGTAAAATTAATGTTTATTGTTGCACTTAGTTATCCTGTTGGCTCGAATGCCTTTAGTTTCTAACACAAACGACAAAAACAAAGTTGCTGGAAAAGCTCAGCAGGTCTGGCAGCATCTGTGGAGGAGAAAACAGAGTTAACGTTTTGGGTCCGGTGACCCTTCCTCAGAACTTGCCAGACCTGCTGAGCTTTTCCAGCAACTTTGTTTTTGTTCCTGATTTACAGCATCCGCAGTTCTTTTGGTTTTTATTTTGCCTTTAGTTTCTAGGTGCCAGAAAATAATCTGTTAAATATCTTCTCTCCGTCCTCCTCTCTACTGACTCATTGTGTCTTAACAACAATGAATGTTGGGCAATCTTGACATGGGCCTGAATCTACAGCGCAAAAGTTTATCTAAGGTGGAACCATGATTGTGGTCACACTAGAGACCGTGGGTAGCTGGAAATGGAGCCTGTTGTTGAGATAGATTTAATACATGCTGTATGTAACTTTGGAAGGCTGAGGTTATATTTTTTAAAAAAAACTCCTTATGATGAACTGCAACTATGCCAATATACTGATATTTCTACTGATCTGATTATCTCAACAGTATATTCCATCCAGTAACAACAACACTCCCATCCAAGGATTTTATATCTATTACCGGCCAACCGACAGTGACAATGACAGTGACTACAAGCGAGATGTAGTTGAAGGTACGCAAAGGAAAACATCCTGTTGTCTGTGATTTAACCATGGTTTAAAATAATTACAAAACCCTGGAATCCAACTGGACAGGCATAAATCCCAAATAGAAACATGTCACAATCTTATTTTAAATAAGGAAACCAAGACTAAAGAAGAAAGTCCAATATGAACAAAGTACTATGGATGATGGAGATCTGAAATAAAAACAAAGTACTGGAGAAACTCAGCAGGTCTAAAAGCAAAAGACCATAAGACATAGGAGCAGAAATTCGGCCATTTGGCCCATCGAGTCTGCTCCGCCATTCAATCATGGCTGATAAGTTCCTCAAACCCATTCTCCCGCTTTCTCCCCGTAACCCTTGATCCCCTTGATAATCAAGAACCTATCTATCTCAGTCTTAAATGTATTCGATAATCTGGCCTCCAGCCTTCTGTGGTAGTGAATTCCATAGATTCACCACACTCTGCCTGGAGAAGTTTCTCCTTATCTCTGTTCTAATAGGTCTTCCCTTTACTCTAAGGCTGTGCCCTCGGGTCCTAGTCTCTCCTACAAATGAAAACATCTTCCCAACATCCCCTCTGTCCAGGCCATTCAGTATTCTGTAAGTTTCAATTAGATCCCTCCTCATCCTTCTAAACTCCAATGAGTATAGTCCCAGAGTCACATTCCTCATATGTTAAGCTATTCACTCCTGTGGAGAGAAACAGTTAATGTTTCAGTATGATAAAATATGACTCTCTAGATCTGAAGGGGACCAGAAAATGATGGTTTTCATACTGTTAACGAAGTGGGAGGAGGAACAGGTGGAACAGATGGTGAGAGTGCCCATCGAAAAAGGCAAAGGAAGTGCTGTTAGTGATAGAGAAGCAATGTAAATGCAGAATAGGTGTTAATAGCAGAAAATGGGTCTGTATTGTTGGGTAGGATATAGTCAAAATAGAAGACCGTGTTTACGGTCTGAAGTTGTTGAGCTTGAAGTTGAGTCCTGAAGGCTGTAAAGTGCCTAAACAACTTGTGTTGAGCTTTGCTGTAATACTGCAGCAGGCTAAAGACAGAAACGTTAGTATGAGAGCAAAATGGTGTGAAGTGGCAGGCAACTGGAAGTTTGGGATCATTCTTAAAGGCAGAGCAGAGGGTTCAGCAAAACAAACTCGAAGTTATCTATTTTGTCATAAAAGTACAAATTAAAGTAATTGGGGAGCTTTAAAGTTTAACTAAACTAGGCAATGTCTCTTTAATTACATTGAAAACATTTACATTTTCTTCTTCTAACAGGCCTTCTGCTTACTCTATACATTAGGGAGTGCCAAGCCATTTCCATCCCCTCACTCCTCTGCTGGATAATTTCAATGTGTAAATGTTATCTGAGGAGGTAGAATGTAGTTCGTTCATTACGTCCTTTCATAGTCAAATAACCTTCCACTGACACTTACTGTCAAGCTGATAACTGGAAAATGACTACTTGAGAAAAGTAATAGTGGGGCTGGCACTTGTACCCCTGTAGTGTCAGTGACTTCAGTAGAGGCAATAGGAAAGAGTTTCCAGGGCTGTTGGGCAACTTTCAATCGTCCATGTTTAGAAGTAATGATTTTAAGGTGAAGTAAAGATTTAATTCCTGATTTATTGTTCAACAGCATTGGTTACTGTGAAATCAAAATGAGGCCACTATGTTAGTGAACACAGTTACAACAATAAAAATAAGTGAGACTGTGCAGAGCAAAGTCAGGAGTGTAAGTACAGGCAAGACTCGGAGCTGTGGGAGGTAAACCTTTATTCCCTGTTGCCTTAGCGATCTCTCAGGTGAAATTTCCTGTCAAGGACTTTATTAAACACTTAATTAAATTCTTACCAGCAATGCCCGTGACCCCCTGCAACTTTTATTTTAATTAAAGTACACCACAATTCAAAAACTAGATGCAGAGGAAAAGATTGCTAAGTAATTTCCAGGAGGAGGGGAAGTGTTTTTGAAGGGTTTTAACAGCCTGGGTACGGGCCAGGAAAAACACAATAATTTGATCAGACTGCAGAGCTTGGACTATGCACTGACCCAGCACTGAGAGTGACTGCGGCCAGGAGACGGCAGGAATTCAGTCAGTTATTTTCACTTTTCCTTGGGGAATCTGTCTCACAGGAATGTAGTAACCAGAGGCAAGAAGTTCTGTTTATTAAATTATTCTGCTAGATTTTGTTTTCTCATTTTAACGAAAGGGAAGGATTGATTCAGTCCAGCCTGAAATAGTGCTACTTGTTAAATTTCTGTCCAGACGCAAGGCAGTGAGCAGATTTCTAAGCTTGCTTTTTGATAAGTATCTTGACAGAATTTTGATTTACCATGTCCCAGCAGATTTTTCCTCTTTTGCCAGTGGGGGATGGGAATGTAGTAAAAGGACCATAATCCGGATAAGTGAATCCAGAACATTGCAGGAAGAACCAAAGTTTTTATATAAAGAAAATACTGAGAGATCATTTTCCTGATGGAATGATTTTAACCTTCAATCTTTATCCAGCATATTTAATGCTTTCTTTTAACACTATGCTTTCCAATTATATTCATAGGTTACTGACATCAGTTACTTACCATTTTAGTTAAAATAATATACCTCCAGGCCTTCTCATTTTGTCCTGTCATTCACATCGTGAAGCCTTTTTCCAGATCAATTTCAGTAGTCAATAATGCAACTCTAAAAACTTCACTGCAGTCAACTCAGTCATCTCTTTTCCAACGAAACCAGCAAACTCAATTTCATAAATTTTTTCTCCTGACGTGCATTGATTTGATCATTTGTGTCAAAGTATGAGGCATAACATTTTGAAATGCTTGTTATGTATTTGTCTTATTCAGCAGTCTGTGATGCAAACCATTCATATTCAACTTTGACTGAAAAACATCTTCATAATAATATAGTGGAATCACTTAAGTATGCTGTTCTATTATTACACTATTAATTTACAAAAACTAAGGGTCCAACTTTGGTACAAGCAGCAAACAGTTAGATATACTTCATTTCACTCGTGTTGCATAATTTTGAATGAATTCTGAATTAGCAATAAGTCTCTAACGGTCAATAATCTAGCCTCTGTGCTAATCCAGTCCACATTTGATTGAATACCCACAATTTTAGTCCCAATGTAGGAATTGGATTAGTGGAATGAAGGTCAATTGTAAATAAACAATATGAATGTAAGTATCTCTCAAATAAGTTTGCATGGCTCCCTCTGTGATCAATATAGATCAAATGAAAATGCGGACTGCTGTCACCAGTCCTGACATTAATAATAGCCTATAATGAATTAGCAATCCCATACTTAAGGTGCCTTCGTTCTTTTTGTTTCTACGGTGTAATGTAATTATGATAGTGTTGAGGTACAGCACACTGTTGTACAGACACAGGTATCATCAGGTACAGTTTCTTGTTTGCAGTCCCAGTTAGCAAACTAAGATGCAACTCCATGAAGAACAGGTAGCTCAAACCTACAAGTGTTAGTTAGAGTCATCATAGATTATGTAGGGTGTCTCAATACTTACATTAAACGAACAATTTTTGTGCTAATTGTTCCAACACTCTTGTTCATTTTCTGTAAATCAATGAGATCTATCCACTTTTTCTACAGTGTAATAAGATTTGTCTGTTTAACTATTCTACGCATGTAGACATCTTATGTGCTTACTTATGATGCAGGGAACAAACAATGGCATCTCATCCGACATCTGCAGCCTGAAACCTCGTATGATATCAAGATGCAGTGTTTTAATGAAGGTGGAGAGAGTGAATTTAGCAATGTCATGATCTGTGAGACCAAAGGTAGGAACTGCTGCTATCTGCATTGCCCTTCTGTCTGGATGTTTGATTTTTTTTTTCCTTTATTCATTCACGAGATGAGGGTGTCACTGCCTGGGCCAGCATTTATTGCCCATCCCTAATTGCCCAGAGGGCAGTTCAGAGTCAACCACATTGCTGCAGGTCTGGAGTCACAGGTAGGCCAGACCAGGTAAGGATGGCAGTTTCCTTCCCTAAAGGACATTAGTGAACCAGATGGGTTTTTCCAACAATCGACAATAGATTCACGGTCATCATTAGATTCTTAATTCCAGATATTTATTGAATTCAAATTCCACCATTTGCCGTGGCAATATTCAAACCCAGGTCCCTAGAACGTTACCTGGGTCTCTGGATTAACAGTCCAGCGATAATACCAGTAGGCCATCCCCTCCCTATTTCTACAAAGTTCTGTCCAATCTGCTAACGTGAAGCTAGTGCACAGGATTTTGATCAGTATCCTGTGACGGTCATTGAAGTACAGATAGCAGGTGAGAGGAGGATCAGCTTCATTGACGGTGCCTGTTGACTCACTTGTATGTACTTGCTCTCTGAAAAATGGCCATTTGATGAGGTGTGTTTGGGCAGCCAAAATCCAGAGCTGTATCCAAGCAAAGGTATGTGTGTCTTCAAGAGAAAAAATGAGTCATAGTTTTGATCAATGAGCATGTACGTATTTAAAACGTATTCATAGGATGAGAACTTGTAGGTGATGTTCCCATATGCTCACTGTCCTTGTTTTGTTGAGTAGTAGATACCTCAGGTTTGAGGGGACGATTCTGCTAAAGGAGGTTCAGCAAGTTGCTGCAGAGCATGGTGTAAACGTTGTGCACTGTTACCACAATATACTGCTTATGAAGAGTAAATGTTTCAGGTGGTGAATGGGATACCATGCACAAATGCATTGTCCTTATGGTGCAAACTTCTAGAGTGTTGAAGCTGCACTCATTCAGACAAGTATGGATTATATCATTCACACTCCTAATTTTAGCCTTGCACATGGCTTTGTGGAGTACGAAGGTGAATTAATTGCTGAAGAATGCATAGCCTCTAGACTACTCTTGTTTAAATAGTATTTACAACACGTCCCATTAGATTGCTGGTCAATAGTAATTAGGTGGTTTTTGTGGATGTGCAGGATTCAGAAATGGCAATGTTATTGAATGTCAAAGGGAGAGTGTTAGATTCTGTTTGATTGGAGATGGTAATTGCCTGGCACTTGTGTAGTTTGAATATTAATTTCCAATTGTCAGCCAGTATCTGAATTTTACCAGGTCTTGCAGCATGCAAGCACGAGTGGTTCATTATCTGAAGAGTGAGGGATTATTAAGGAAGCAGCTGAAAATTAGACCCCATTCCCACTCCCACCCTATCCCAAATTTCTGTTGACTTGATTTTATTTGCTACACTCGCTGAATGCTGTCCTGATAACAAAGGCAGTGACTCATCACCTCCTGGTATTCAGCTCTTTTGTTCATATTTGGGTCTGGAGTTGAGTGCTCTTGGCAGTTTCCAAACTAAGTAGTCAGCAGGTTATTAGCGGATATCTGCCTAATAGTAATGTCAATGACACCTTTCATCGCTTTGTTAATAATCAAGAGTAGAATGACAAAGTGATAATTGACAGGATTGGATTTGGCTTGCTGTATGTTGACAGAATCTGCCTAGACAATGTCCAGCCTTATTGCACAGGTGCCAGTTTTGGAACTCTGGAGGCGTACGTAGCTTGGGAGCACATGGACTCCAGCAGTTCAAGAAGGCACTCGCCACCACCACCGCCTCAAGGGCAACTAGGGATGGGCAATAAATGCTGGCCCAGCCAACCATGCCTGCATCCCATAAGTGAATTAAAATTTTTTTGAAAAGTTTTCCCTACACCCAAGATGTTTCCAGGGTCCATAGCCTTTGATATAGCCAGTGACCTCAGCCATTTCTTGATGTCACACATTGAATTGCATTTTGCTGAGAAATGATTTCTGTAATGGTGGAGCCTCGGAAAAGATGCACATTGAGAACCACCAAGTGTTTGATCATTGAAGATCGTTGCAGTTATCCTTTACGCTTAGTGGTTTGGGCTTCAGCATCATTGAGGATGGAACATTCATGGACCTTCGCCTTCCCTGAAGATGTTTTAGTTATCTACTCATGACTGCATGTGATGAGACTGCAGAGCTATGACTTAATTCAAAGATGATCACTGTAGAAACCCACTTGGGATATTGAAAATCATAACAGAGTTTTTAAAATATTATAGATTCATTAATGCTGTATTTCTTCAGAAACGTATCTTGGTGCTTTTCTTTATTAATTCAGAGAATGTGGGCATTGCTGGCTGGCCGGCCAGCATTTATTGCCCTTGAGAAGGTGGTGGTGAGCTGCCTTCTTGAAAAGCTGCAGTCCACTTGAGTAAGTCTGCCACATGGCTGTTAGGGAGAGAATTCCAGGATTTTGATCCAGTGACTGTGAAGTAACAATGATATAGTTCAAAGTCAGAATGTTGAGTGTCTTGAAGGGGAACTTGCATGTCCTGGTTTGCCCATGTATCTGCTGCCCCTCTTATTCAAGCACCTTCTAAAAGATAATCGTAACTCTACACGTACACCGAGTGTACAGTCACTAAAATGTTTAAGAACATTAACAGCAGGAATAAACTATCTGGCCCCTCGAGCCTGCACTACCATTAAATAAAATCAAGACTGATTTGCCCTAGGCCTCAACTCCTCAAACTTCTCCCTGATATTTCAAACTCCTGTCTCCCTCCCTTTTTGAATACTTTGTGTGATCTAGCCTCCACAACTCTATCAGTAGAGAATTCCAGACATTCACTACCCTCCTTAGAGAATAAATTTCTTTACATCTCAAATTTGTATGAGTGCTCCCTTATTCTGTAACTATGAACCCTAATTTGAACCCCATTAGAGGAATTATCTTCTCCATCTTATTTTTAGGTACACCTAACGCTGTTGCTATACTCCTCATTGAACCTCACTTTACTCCCTAACTGATGTTGGAGTTCTGAAGCACCTGCTACTCTGTGAGGATACAGACCATGTTGGAACATAATTCTTCTGTTGCTGGTGGCCCATGATGCCTCACGAATCCTTAGTTTTGAGTTGCTCCTTGTGTTTTGAATTCATCTCTATTAACATAAAGACTGTGCCATACATCATGATGAAGGGTGCTTTTGGTGTGAAAATAGATTGTAACACTCTTTGAGGACAACATGGTCACCCCTACTAATGTTGGCAGGAACAGGTGCAGCAGTTAGGTAGTTGAGGAGGATATTGACTCATTGTGAAATGATGTGAACGTGTTAGATATATTCAAATTTTAGGAATGCTGCTTCTTACTGTCACTTGCTTTTGTACATCCTTTTAGCACGGAGATCCCTTGAATCTTCTGAATACTCTGTGGTGATGGACAACGACATAAGTACGCAACCTAATCTCCCTGACCACCACGGTGGTGGTCATGGGACATCCACTTCTGGCACACGGAGCAATGATATGTTGTACCTGATTGTGGGCTCAGTGCTGGGGATCATGGTTCTCATCCTCATTATTTTCATTGCTATGTGTTTGTGGAAGAATCGTCAACAGACAACACTACAGAGTAAGTAGTCATGTGGATTACCCTTACCTGTGTTTCTTCTGAGGAATATGACTCATCATGAGACTTGTTGAAAAGTATTCTATACTTTTTCTCCAAGCACCGTCAGTTTAATGTTAATCCCTTAAAGAGACCCTGCCTTATTGGATCCTTTGACCCTTAGGGACAAATTGTAAGAATTTAAATGGAATTCTTTGTTTCACACCCTGACTCTGAAATTATGAAGTGAAATTAGTCAGACTTCTGTCTTTTCATAAGACAAAATGACTTCAGGGAGGACGGATGAAGGAGCTGAAAGTGACTGAAAGAAAATACAGTCCTTCAGTAATAAATTTCATGTATTCCTAAAGTTCTTTTGAATAGAACAAACTTATTCAGGTAACTCAGCCTAATACATGGAGAAATCTTATCAGAACAGCATTCAAAAATCTGCTGTCCTTAATCACACCAACTCCATACATTTATCACCCCCTCTGCTCGCTGACCTACATTGATTCCCAGTCAAATACTTTTAGAATTCTCAATCTTGGTTTTAAAATGCTCCATGGCCTCATCCCTCACCAACTCCATAGTCTTATCCAGCTTCACAACCTTGCAAGATATATACACTCATCCCATTCAAGCATTCCCAGTTGTAATTGGTCCACCATTTCCGTGTATGACTTTAGCTGCTTACGCCCAAAACTGTTCTCTCATCATCATCTCTTTCTTCCTTTAAATGCACCTTAAAACCAAGTTATCCCACTAAGCGTTTGGTCATCTCCCCTAATATTACATTTTGTAACTCCGTGTGTTTAATTTGAATGTATGACATTCCCATGAAGTAACTTGGAATGTTTTGTTACTTTGAAGGCACTACATAAAAATCAGTTACTAGTGTAGCATCTTTGGGTATATACAAATTAGTGCGAATATGAGTTCCTACAATATATATTGCATAAACAGCCAGGAAGGCATATAGCTTGGAAAGCCCTGTTCCAGAGTGATGAGTGGAGTCTGACTGAGGCACTGTCAGTGCAAGTAGAAAAGACATTGAGTCAATTTGGTAAAAGAAGGGTATGTATACGAACTGTCACTCCCAACATGGAACCTGAGCCTGACATCCTTGTTCATGTGCTTAGGTTATGGGAGGACAGTCTAGCTAGTGAATTATGACTCCAGTTGCTAAGGCTGCATGCTAAGAGCAAAATCTTCCAATTACATTTAATATATCCACCATTCAATTAATAGGCTTTTTGTAAGACATTCTGGCTACCGACTTTTTTTTAAAGTCGTCGAACATTTCAACACCAGTGTTAAAGAAATGTGTACATATTGTAGCACCGGACTATAAACTATTTTTTTGTTAGATCAGCTTTTGAATATGTTCGCTGTTGGTTCTTAAGTTTTTCCCCTGTAATGTACTACAGACAGTTTTCAGCTCCCCCATTTACACTTTACTACTTTTTCTACTTGTCAGCTGCATTAAACAGTTTATTGCAATGAGTGGGTAACTACAGTCCTGTGTTCTCAGTTGTGCTCTTACTCTGTGTGAATACAAGTAGTCGACCCTGCAATGTCTTCTGTTTCCAACATAAATTTTAAGCTGACATCGTCCTGATAAGCATAGGAACCAGATCTGTGAAATCCATTCTGCGATACAATGTGATCGGACCAATTACACATTAACCTCCCTTTATAGTAGTGTAGTTTTCTCTTCAGCAAAACTTACTTACATAGTCTCTTGAGAAAGATATTGGATTGGAACAGCACTGCTTTGCGTGTATTTGGCTGAAAATGCTATTCGCACAAGTTTCTGTTTTGCTAGCTTTTAATTCCTCATCTGTTTATTCTAACAAAGGCATATAGTCTGTCTTAAGTTCCAGCATTTGGAAGAATATTAGGTGTCATAGTGATTGCAAAGAGACAGGCAACAGCTGAGGTATGTTGATGAAAAAGAGGCCCCCCTCCACAGCTTCACTTTGTAAATCTGATACAGGCTCTTTTCCTCACTACTACTGCAACTAGAAGGCTTCATAGGTGGTCAGTGAGACTAGGCCTCAACTATTGTCTTAACTCTTTTTAAATGCAAGTTTCCTGAAGGAGGTTGATTTGATTAAGGTTTTCAAGACCACTAAATATTCATTGACAAGGCTGCAAAGAGGAGAGAAGGCATAATTCGAATTGCATGCATAACTAATTTTGGTATTTATTTTTCCCAGAGTACGATCCACCTAACTACCTCTATCAAGGCCAAGAGATGAATGGCCAGCTAATGGAGTATACCACCTTGCCTGGCACCAGTCGAATTAATGGAAGTATTCATGGCAGTTACATTGGTAACGGAAGCCTCAGCAATGGCTGCCCACACCTGCACCACAATATCTCAAATGGAGTGAATGGATTGATGAATGGAGGAACTTCAATGTACCCTAACCAGACAAACTCACTGCAGAGAACCCACATGGACTATGACCAAGCTCACCATATTATGAATGTAAGGAGCCTGCTGGGGTTTTTTTTTGTGGTGAAAAGAGTCAGGCCTGAAGTCACGTTTAAAGTCATTGCTTTCATCGTGAGCTTCAACGCTGTTTCTCAGTTAACACTTCAACTATAATATCTCTGCTGATTTTTTTCCGATTTATATATATTTTGCATCAAGTAGCCTACCATCTCAATAACTCGCTGTGGTGGTTGCTACACATTTCCGATCCTCTTACCCCCATGAGACAGATGTCGTAACCTTGCATCAGACAGTTCTTTTGGCCTGTGTTATTGCTTTCGCCTGCTACAGTTTACATTTTAGCAAAACTAGCATCCAGCAGCTTTATAGCTTGGGCATAATATTTCCGGGAGTGTTTGTGAGTAATATGGATCGAGTGTTTGTCATTCAGGGGTTTAGTAAGAAAATATAATGGCTTGAAGTGAATGATACATGTTAACAATGAAACTATGATTTCCATTCATCTGGTTTAGTTTACTAAAGGCTTACATGTTGCATGTTAACAAATTTACCATAACACCTGCATTCATTTTTCTGTTCATGTTAGAAATGGAGGGTAACTACTGTGATGTTTTTCAGTGGTTCAACAGACTAAACATTTGGAGATCAGCATTTTTTTTAAAGGAAAATCTTTTTCTGGATGGCGACAATGTTGGCAATCAGCATTTATTGAATATTCCCACTACCAACTTGAATTTCTGGCATCTGTGCAGTAATAATTTAACAATAAAAGCATGGAAAGGATGAAGGAAATGATAAAGGAAGAAATAGAAGAAAGAGCAAGTCAGGATGGGAAGGAGCAAAAAAGACAGAAGAAAGGGAGATTAGCAGAATAAATGCAGTAGTGAGGTGAAGAGTAGGAAACTTGAAAGGATATTTCTGACTGGATCAGTTACATAACTATGACATTTTGCTGATTTAATAAATAATCCTAAGTGCTTTCTTCTAAAGTAAATCGGTTTACTTTCTGGAAGACAAAATAAATCTGTATATGATTCTGGCGATAGCCTTCTAATGAAGTTTGAATAGGATTTCTGTGTAAACAAATGAATAAAAGTTTATTGAATAAAGTTTAAACAAATTTGAAATGTTTGAGAGCAGGCAAGGTGAGAGTGGGGTTGGAAGCCAGTGGAGGGAGGATAGGAAAGGAGGTTGTTGGAGGGTTGATCTGAGGGAAAGAGTTACAGTGAAGTTCAGAGGGGCCTGTGCAGGCCCGGGGTTGTCTCCTGGATTTTGTCTTTTCTTTTGCCGTTAATTTTTAGTTGGCACTAAGCCATCCTTTAAGTACATTTTTGTCTGAGTATATAATGAGTTGTGGGGCCTCTTTTAAGTAGACTTTTCATGTATCTCTACTTGAATTATTTTGGGACAAGAGGGGGAGGCTTCAGATATTGTAGAATACTCTGCTCCCAGCCAATCCCAACTGATTTAACCACAGTACAAGTCAGACAGACTGGCTGGTGCAAGAGCAAATGTACTGTCTGTCATATTTTGCCTAGGGATCAGCGTCAGGCTGCAAGTGGATGCAATGTGCAGGCTTAATTCCTCAGGCCACTGTGCTCTTTTTTTCTTTACCTTTTTTTGTTCCAATTATTTTTAAACAGTAAAATACAATATCAGCAAATTCTCTTGACAAAGTCAAGTATGCTATCTTCATGAAAATATGCATAATAAACTTTTAGATAGAATAATTTATTCATCTTGCTATCAAGTATAAGTGAAAAAGTTGTCCTATTTGGGATAGTTATGCATCACAGTTTAATAAATTAACCCTAGCTGTGTTTGCAGAACATGGATATGCATACATCTCCTTGCATTTTTATGGCTCCTGATCTGTTGTTATCTACAATAGCATTGTCAATTTTTAACCTTCAACAGGGTATTTGTACTTGCTGTGACAATACTTACATTAACACTTCTAGCTTGAGAACTAGTCGTGATAAAGTAGCACTTAAAGATTCAATAGATGTTTGTTAAAGTTCCTGGTCTGTATGTATCTGTATTTATATAATGTTGACGTTGTCCTACCAGGCCATAGGGCCACTCTTTCATTAGAAGAGAGACTACTGGTGTGGTTTAACCTGATGGTCACCACACCTCGGGTGAGAGGAGAGGCCGAGAAGAAGAGTCCTTCGTGACAACCTCAGCAAGTGTGGGAAAATATTGGCACCTCCGTGTCGGAACTAATATCAAGCGTTTAAAGTTTTGGCAAAGATCTGTAGCTTGGGTTGTGGATGAGTTTGTTAAAAACATAGCACAGTACAGGCCCTTTGGCCCACGATGTTGTGCCGAACATTTCCCCTAAACCCAAGGTCTATCTAACCTCCACCCCTACCTTATACTATCATCCATATGTCTATCTAATAGCCGCTTAAATGCCCTTAATGAGGCAGACTCCACTACCCTCTCCGGCAATGCATTCCACGTCCCGACCGCTCTCTGAATAAAGAACCTACCTCTGACGTCTCCCCTATAGCTACCTCCACTCACTTTAAAACTATGCCCCCTCGTCCTAGCTACCTCCACCCTAGGTAAAAGTCTCTGGCTGTCCACTCTATCTATACCTGTGATCAGTTTGTACACCTCTATCAAGTCACCTCTCATCCTTTGTCGTTCTAAAGAGAAAAGCCCTAGCTCTCTCAACCTTCCCTTCATTCCAGGCAACATCCTGGTAAATACCTTTTCCAACGCTTCCACTATACTGTTTGATTTTGTGCTGCTGAAGGCTAAGCTCTGAATTTTGTGTTGACAGGGTGGTGGGATATACACTGCACTCCCACAGACAGAACCAACAGAATGCATCAACTGTCGCAACTGCAGGAATAACAACAGGTCAGTGTGTGCAATGGCTCTGTAATATTTAATGTTCATTTAGAGTTAGTGTGTGCAATAACTCAATTTTACGTAACAGATGTTAAATATCAATCTTTCTTGCTATCTTTCTGTTTCTTGACCTGAATCAATGCCTGTCGAGGACAATTTGTGCCCCTACCACAGCCCTGGCTCTGGTTATGTATCCAACGTTAACATTAATCTCAAGTAATTCAGTTTTGCTCCTTTTGTATCACCTGGTATAAGATGACCCAATAAGATGGATTCTGCTTAAAGTACATTTCTTTATTAGTGTTCTGAGAATTTTGCTTTTGTTTGCAAAAGACCACAAACCTTTATCATCACACTTGGTCAAGCAATTGGGGAACTGGAAGAGTTGAAAATAATTAGTGCAGTGATATTTGAGAAGCCTTCTCTCAGTTTGTCTACAAACATTGACCAGGGACAAATCCTGCTGATGTCCATTGCTTTAACATGTGCTTTCATTCTGAATGACACAGCCATCTCTTTCTCCCTAAACAGATATTTAGAATTGTACAACACAGAAAATCAACGATTCAGCTGTGCAGTGTTTATGCTCCACAATAATCACCTGTCATTCTAATTCATCCAATCCCAAAGGCATAAACTCCTGTGTGCTCTTATCTAGTTGCATTTTAAATGCTTCCCTGCTTTTGCCATGTGGAAGTGAGTTCCACATTCTCACCACATCAAGTAACAAATTTCCTTATTGAACTTATTAACAACTGTCATTTAATTATAGCCCCTAGTTTTGGATTCTCCCACAATGAAAATAACTTCCTACATCTACATTTTTTTTTTATTATTGAAGCTCTTCTCCATTTTAAAGACCCACTAGTAGGTCACCCTCTGGCAAACCAGGTCGGCATTGACAAGTTGGAGTGAAGGGTCTGTTTCCATGTTACATGACTGTATGACTCTAGTTTCTTCTAGTGACAAGAGCCTGGCCTTCTGTCTTTATTTGGTGAGCACTCTGTTTGCTTTTGGCTTGAGTGAGTATTTTAATATAACAAGACCTATGTTTCTTTTACTTTTTGCTCCCCTCCTCAAAAAGTCAGCCTCGGAATTTCATTGCGGTGATAGAAAGGGGAAGCAAGCCTGGTGGTCAGTGTTACGCATCACAAGAAGCAGTTAAATGTCTTCAACAGTGCACAGAAACCATATTGTACTGAGTCACTCTTCATAAATACATTCGTTCTTCCTTTTTTTTCAGCTCAGTTATTCATGCTAATTACAGATCATTGCCTGAAACGTGCACACTCGCACTGCTCTTTTTCCACAGTACGTTGTGTGTGCAGACTGGAGAAAATGCTTATCTGCAAGATGCTAACACTGCGTTAGCAGCCTGCTTTTCTCCCTAGCTCTCCTCTTCTCGTTTTCCCTCCCCCATACCGATCTTTTCTCTCCCCAGCCCCAGTCCCAAGCTATGGCCTCTCAGTTACTGAACTTTGAGACTAATTGCCTGCTGAAGATTCTGGCAGTTCCACAGCTTGCTGTTGCTTCTTTGCACAGTAGCACCATTGAAGGATTACTTTGTATATTTGTGTGTGATACTAGTGGAAATGAGCTGTAAGCATTTGTGGCTTTGCTTGCCACTGAGCTTGACTGTTTGCTCACTGGAATTCTGCCTGGTGCCCAGGATACAGCTTTTCATTGCTTGCTCTTATGTTCTTTGTGATAAAGTACTGTCCCTTTCTGTGGCTGTGTCAAGTTGAAATCGTAAACTCACAGCCAGTACGTGGATTATTGTTAAATGTCCATCAGTTTGTTTTGACAATGTCAGTCCAATGGTAAATGTCGTCATCATCAGGAAGAATGTGACTTCAGGATATATAAAGGCTGGTCAATCTCCTTTTGAAGGAAGTAATGTGGAGATAATTGTTTTTTTTTGATGTAATATGTTTCCTTCATTTGCCTTTTGGGGTCAGTTAGCTTATTTGGCTGGACAACTAGTTTGCAATGCAGAATTATGCCAACAGTGTGGGCTCAATTACCATGAAGGACCCTCCTTATTGACTCCTCCTTGTCTGAGTTGTCGTGACCTACCACTGGTCATTTCTCTCAAATGAGAGAGAAACCTATGGACTTGTAGGACTATAGTGACTTTACCTTTTTGCTTCCTTTATTTGAAGATTCATTTCTTATTTTTCTCTTTTCTCTTCTCTTCTTTCTTTTTCTCAAATTTTATTTCCCTTTGCTTTGCTTTGTTTTAGTCTGGTTTATTTCATCTGGCTTATTCCTTTCTGTCTTGATTTTTCTTTCCTTTTCTATATAAATTTTAAATGGTATTTTGCAGAATTGACCCATTCTGTAGTTAGATCCAATCTATACATTCTTACTGAAGGTCAGAGGATATTCAAAACATTTAAAGGTGTTAGTTCAAGCACCATTTGCTTCCCTTTGTGGTGGGTGTACCTCCAGGACCCGGTGATTTTCATGTCGTTTAAGTTCTCTGTCTCTAGCTCTTATTTGTTCCCCTTCCTCCATTTTTTTTATACTTTATCTATCCTGTTTGTTTGTTTGTTTGTTTGTTTCTACCACCCTGCCTCATGACACACTCTTCTTCCATTTCTTCTTTGATTTTGATCTTGATATTGTGTCGGGTCGTTGGGTCATTGTGTCATTTAGCTGTGTTTGGCACTTGTTAGCATCATGCCATTTTTAACAGAGCATGTTACGTTCTGAGTTAAATTGTCCCTTTCCCTTTTCAGCAGATGTTTCACGAAAACCAATGGCACTTTTCCAAGCGATAGTTTACCCATGATTCAGCGGACTCCAGCCTGCCATCAAGATGGTATGGAGATGTTGCCTCTAAATCATATCATTGCTCCATTGTGCCCTGGATCTATTGTCACTGAAAATAATGAAGAGGCAGAGTGTGAGAGTACAAAGGAAAGTTCCCAACAAACTCCTCCTCAAGCCTCCTGCTGCAGTGATCATCTGGACCAATTGTGTGAAGACAATATACAAGGTACAATTCCTTGCTGATTTTTAAGCAAATTAATTTCAGTCCAATTTTCCTCCTCAGCCTCATGGGGAAGACTTAATACGCAATACTTCTGGTTTTTGTTCCTTTCCATTTCACAAGCATTTCCAGGGCAATGAACTGAGGTCCAGGAGCATGGGTAGGATCAAAACCCCTCCCATTTCAGTTCCTAGATTTTCACCTGGTGTTTGACCAGGAATCAACTCATCCAATGCAAGTAAGCTGGCAGGGTGCTGTGCCCACGATGTAAAGGTAAAATCCCAGAGGACCGTAAAGGCTGCACTCTCATTAGCAAGAGACAGCTGGTGGTGTCAGTAACATCTATTCCCTTCTTCAGAAATCTCTTTTTTAATCTCTCCCACTGCCATCTCCACTTCTGCCAAAACCAGGAAGGTAGACGAAATGCAGGGGGAGGAAAAGACAGGGAGGAGTTGCTTAAACCACTGATGTACTGAAAGCCAGTCTGTCAAAACTGTGCTAAACTGCCATGATGCTGTTGTAGTCCAGATCAGATACTTAATCTGTCGTAATGAACCTGGAAATATAGACAAGGTTGGTGTGTTTAGACTGGACTTGACTACCCCCTGGAAAGCTGAAGTGGAGAATTAGCCCTATTCAATTACAGTTCAGTTACATCTCTGAACTTGACATATTTTTGTGAATCAAAGTTTTTCATAGGATATATGACAGAAACAGGCAATTTATTCCAACGAGTCCATGCCAATGTTTATGCCACACTTGAGCTGCCTCCTATCTTTCATTATCTAAAACTGTTATTGTAACCCTGTATTTCCTTCTCCCTCAAATGCTTGTCTACCTTTCTACAACATTTTATTCCATCACTCCTTATGGTAGAAGATCCATATTTTCACCACCCTTTAATAAGGAAATCTCTTCTGATTTCCCTATTGGATTTCTTGGCAATGGATTGCTTGTGTTCACAAGGATTCTATATTTATAAAACAAAAAAGTAGGCTGTGAACAATTAATTAATTAGTATGTGTAGTCAGAGCTGAGCAAAATTCTTGTAAGTGGCTAGATAGGGTGCTTTACACACACTTTCCAATTGAATCAACAGACAGTCATTGTCAATGTGAGTCATTGTTCGAACTGCATTACAGCTACAGCCTGGATGGTTCTGGCAACCCTACTGATACTTGGAGTTGCACAGAGGACTTAGTCAGTCCAATAGGGGTTTATAAGGATCCCCGTCATTGTGACAGATCAAAGTCAAGCAAATAAGCAGTGAGATTTACAACATGAAACTGGCTTTGAGGATGTTGTCTCCTACCAGTCTTCCAACCTGCCAGAAGTTCTTAGCTGTTGCTTCACAGTGTGTTGGGTTTAATCATGTGGGGTAGCATGAGAGAAAGCAGTGTGCTGGTAGGTTAAGGAGATCATTGATTAAGGGTGGGCTTGTATGGAGTAGACCTTCTCCAGTAGCTTGCCTGATGCCACTGCTTCTTTGATGTAGGTCAACAGTGTTGCTGAGGAGCTGAGGGAGGTGAATTAACTGAAAAGTATCTGTGAGGATGCATGTTGTTAAATTGCACATCAATAAGTTTTGTGTAGGCAGATTAACGTGCAGTATTGGTCAGGTGATTATTTGATGGCAAGAGCAGAAACCCTTCAGAACTTAGGCTGTGATCCCCATTAGGGAACAACTGTTTACTGAGACAGTTGTGGGTTTTAGTTTTTTCTGTGGCCTTGATGAGGGGCTGCGTTAATGAGGGTTCTGCTAGAGTAACGCCCAAATAAACAGTGTGAGCATTGTGCTTCACACTCTGACCATCCATAGTGATGTTCAGTTTCTTATTAGCATTTGAGTTATGAAGGTGGAATTTGCTAGAGATTGTTTCACTGGTGCTCAGCCAAAAGGACTATATCTTGTAGTTGGTCAGCTTTGCAATGTCAAGGAAGTCGGATAATTAATTGCAACATATTATGCACAAAGAGAATTATCTGCCTTTCTGCTGAGTGTGAACGGAAATATAGGCATTAAAGAATCAAAGGAAATACCTAAATTTAGTGATGGAGTTTTACTTTCTTTCTAGTCTACACATTTGAAAAGTGCAACATGCAAGCGTACTTCCTTGTCCACTCCATGGAAATTGAGAGGTGATAAGGTTGTGTTTCCCAAGTCTCACTTATTATTCTGAGCTGAGGTGTTCAAGAAAGGCTTGCAAGAGGGAACTCCCCAGTGCTTTGATACCAGGCAAAGAAGAATATCGTACGTTTTTAGATTAGCTTTGATTTCCAATATGAGTGTGGATTGTTCAGTGCATAATACCATTCTGTCACCAAAGGGACTGAATTCTAGAACTGGACACTAACATTGACTGTGCACACTATGAAGAATCAGTACTTGAAACTGTGCCCCATTGTTTCATTAGTGCCTTCTAAATGACAGGAGGTGGCATGCAGGAAACAAACAAAGAAATGGTTCACAAATTAACTAGTGCTGAGCTACTGTGATGGCATAATTTTGCCTTGTATACTCTAACTGCTAACTCGATCCTTTTTGTTTTCCTTTAGATGATGAATATCCTGAATTGGAAACTGAGAACCAAACACTAAGTGGCATTTTTCCTCCTCTTGACTCTGCTCCAATAGACTGTGATAATCCAACAGCCTGGAGTGGAACACAACCTGCTGAAGACAACCTCTGCGAGGACTCGACAGAAGAACAACTACAGGAAACCTAAGAGGCCCGTTCCCTGTTTGCCTGAAGCCAGTAACTGCAGCCAGTCACTGGAAGGACCGAGGAGGGATCAAAAAATACTATTTATTTTTTTGTAGTAGTAAAATATTACTCCATATGAATGTATCTGGTTTAAAGATGTCTTCACCCTTTTTAATTATTTATGCTTTCTGAAGAGATATTCCTTCTCTGCAGAATGTGGAGTTTTAGCCTTGTTTTGTATAAAGTTTTGTAATAATATAAAAAGCTATAGAAATTGTTAATTAATGTCAGATCATGCCTATCTGGTGGAATGAGAAGCACTTGTAAGGAGGACATTTTAAGATTCAATACCTAGACGAAGATGGAGGGAGCTGATCCCTGAAAGAATCCATCCAACGGGTAATGCAACCGGACAGTCTGGTTGCAATGGAACCTTAATATGATGCATGGAATACAAAGTTACCAAGGTGTTGTAATGAGGCTTGTGAAAGAATTTCTTTAAACTTAATCCATTTACATGGACCAGCTTGATTTCAGTCAGGTTGAAAGCTCATATCGCCGTCCTCATTGTAACCATGGATCTACTACCAATTTTTTTTTTAATCAATTGCAATATTATGTTCAGATCAGACAGTGCTTCACCACAATGAGTTTCTATCATTTAACACCATCTCAGGTTAGGACAAGATCTATTGCAATATGCCCTACTCCTTTCTAACCTTGGTGCTTGCTGATCTGACTGAAATCAGGCAAGTTCGCTGCTTACGCCATTGTGGAAGACAACATTTCCAGCTAGTACTTTTCTTGGTAGTTTCAATCAACAACAGTAGAAACTCACATAGTTGAAACAAGCAATGTGTTGTCTTATCTTCTCAATTCCTAAAGACAATAATGTGCATTTTTGGCAGCTGGAGTTTCAGTGCTGAATTTGCATCCTGGGAAAGCAAGCAACACTGCAAAGCAAAACATTTGATGTCCATGTTGGTGGAGGTACAGAGATTCACCAGTTTTTGTTCATGCAAAGAAAGCAGATGGCCAGCAGGCCCAACTGCACCAACTAACCAAACCAACTGCTACCATTGTAATGTTTTGTTTTGGGAGTGTGACCAAGGTTTATGTTCAATTGCCAGGTGAATGCACTTTTTGGATGCATTTTACCCACCTGATACAGCATTAACTTTAATTAATTGAGGGAAAATGAAGTTTCATTGAAACTATTTGTATTTGGTTGACATTGCAGCCTTATTAATGTATTGCAGGTTGACTCTCTTGGCATTGCAGTGTGCAAACCATTTTCTGGTTTCCTTAATGATAGTTACCGTATATTGTACTTATTGTGACGTGAAGTTGTTTGTTAATAATGTGTTCAGTTTTCAGGCATCTTCTGTCCCATTCTGTTTGTATTAGCTTTGAGCCTGGGTATTGCTGAACAAAGGAGAACCATTGGAGTTCCAGCATGTGTGCCGTCAATTTCTGCAATTTGTTTATTGGTACTAGGGGAAGCAGCAAAGAAAGAGAATTTATGATTCCGCCTGTTTCCATTCAGTGTTTGTGTTACCATTCCACTGCCATCAACATTTCTCCCTCTAATCAGTCTCATTTTTCGATGCTGCCATTGGGTACAAAATTTCCCATATCGTTTATCATTTCATCTTTATTTGATATAATACACAACACTATGAGCATTGTTCCCACAAGTGATAATGGACATCTTTAATGTTCGTTGTCAAATTAATTGGGAAAATACCTCAGTTGCACCACCATGGTGACGAGCAAGCTGGAAAAAAAGTAAAAGAACTGGTGACTGTGAAAGGTGGCTTTTTATTCCAACAGAAGCAGAATCCCAGGCTTAGAATGGTGGGTAGATGATATGAGGGAGTTGAATGGTTGGTTATGCTACTAATGGTCTAATGGTTATGGCATGAAAACTGATTATTGCATGATTCTTACAGTAAATGGTCAAAAAACAAAGTATATGTATGAATAAGCAAAATCTATTTGGTGTAAATAGGATGCTCCAAGCTGCTAGTACGGTTACTATAATTTACTGGCTGCTGAAACTAATTTTCTACTACCTTTGAGTGAAAACATGGTGTTGAATTATTGCTGTAGATGCAGGTTCGAGGATATCCAGTAATGTTCAGAAGTCTGAATGACAGAGTGAAACGAGGATATGGTCTCCAGTTCTGTGTTTTGAAGAAAAAAAGCAGGTGGCTAATGCTTTAAGTGAGATCCTGCATTAGGAATTAGCCAGTCCCTCTGCTTTTTCTCGATGCCGCCATATCGCTGTGTATATGCAGTGCTTCCTAGGTTTTACCATTTCTGCTCTTTTTAAGAATCTGTAACCACCGTGCTTGTGTGTACATAAGCATAATACAGGACTAAGACACTAAAAAATGAGAGTGAACACAACGGAGGGGTTGGATACCTCAAAACACTTATCAGGCATGGCCCCTAAATGTTGCACATCATGTGTGAATTTGGTGGGGTTTTGTTTTTGCTTTTTAAATTCTTTAATTTCAACACTCCCATGCAAAATCACTAATGGCTGCATTTTCAAGTAGCATTGCAATCTGACAGTCCCATGAACAATGCAGAGGTGCCCCAATTAGCCAGTGACTAAATTGCAAAAAGAATGGCAAATCAATATCATTTAAATTGGTAAACTCACTCCACACAGTGATGCCAGCAAACGCATTTGCTCACATGAGAACTTTGGGAATTGGTGCATTATCAATTATGCAGCTTGTAGAAAGATTATTCAATTTTTGCTTAAATCACAAAAGAATATCTATCCCTGCAAAGGGCTTTTAAAGTGACCTTAATCCTGCAGGCTAGGAGGGTCAAGGATCAGATGATCATTATAACATTCCCCATGCCAAAATATTTTTGTATGCCGGTTACTTCATTTGTTAAATTCCTGTCTGTGGAATATTTTAAATAAGATAACTGTTGATACTATACCATACAGATGTTTATGGCAGAGGAAATGAAAGGGTATTGTTTTTCCTATTTAGTCATGGTGCTGAGCCTCACCTGCTAGGGCTTTAGTCAGGAAATCTCTCAGCCCACAACTCTGTGTCCACTGTAACAATAGAAGAGCAACAGTTGGCCCAGCTGCTCAGAGAGGAACAGATTCTGTCAGGGTTTGTACTCCTGATCCAATGAGCTCTTCTGGGGAATCTGGGGTCTAAGGATGTTTCTTGATTGTCAAACTGAATTCATCCTGTCATAATTTTTATTAGGATCCCATTGACTGAAAGCCGTGGGCTGGGTGCAGTTTCTTGAATTGTGCCCTGACTGTGAGGTTCCATGCTGAGGGCATCTAATGGTGAAATATTACCTCCAGCCTCTACAACATGCCGCATTGTGTCCCTATATCTTTGTCCCTAGTACCGATTGTTTCATGAGAAATTAAACTGGCTGAAATTTTCTATATTTTGTACTCTTGCCTGTCACCCTCTATCGAAAACAAATAGTGCTGTCTTTTTTAATGCATGTTTTTGTATTATATAGAAAATATGCTATATTTTCATAAATGGTTGTAATATTCTTGTTGAAATTGTACATATTTTTAAATATGATAGCTCAATGAGATGTTGTTTGTAAGATACTGTTAATATTAAAAGATGATACTGTTGCCTTCACTTGCTATGGGTCGTAGTGCTGCAGCAGTACCATATAGCACCCAGAACTGTTGTGTGTGGAGTTGTTTCTCTATTTCTTGATTTTCTGGGGAAGTCTCATTAAAAGGGAGTTAAACTGATTCATCTTGCATTAAAAATCTATGCCAGAAGGTTATGGGTGCCAGTACAGTTTTCTGTCCGCAGAATTTAAGTTAGTAAATATTGCTAGCTGGCAAGAACTGGAAGTTTGCCCTAATCAGTATGGGTACCTGCAGCATATAACCATGTCCTAACAAGCAATTTTCCTTCTCCACTTTCTCCCATACTTTCCAGAGGAAACATTTGTGTTTGAGGAAATTTGTTAGTGATTCGGGCAATTGATATTCCTGAGCTATCTGCCTTGGAATTTCATTGTAATTAAATTTACCTTTCCCATAATCTGTCCCATTTACCTTTCATTTTGCAGCAGCTGTTGCTGGACAGGAAGTGGGATATGGTTTGATAGTTGCCTCCCAAACCTAATAAGCCCATTGTCTTGTTACTCCTGTTGGTCTTCCTGAGATCAGGAAACTAAAAATCAAAGACAAGCCTGGTCTCAGAAGTTTGTTAAGTCTCATCACTGGACAGTTGTATATACACAACTAATGGGAGAACAAATTTTTGCCTTTGTTTTAAATTTAAGTGTGTTACCATTCCACTTCGTAAAACTAAATCAACCAACAGTGATCACTGAATTCATATCAGAATTGGTTGGGAAGAAAGCCTTCTCCAGCAGTGAATGGGAGTACAATTAATATTAATTATTCTAGCTGAGCCGTAGCATGACAAATTAGTTCAATTTGTTCCACTTGAATTCAATAGCTCTTCCAGTGTAGCTCTTACATATCCTACATAGTGCGATTCAGTGACTGATACAAGGGGAAGCTGATTATGGTCCCAAGCAAAAGGTGACTAACGCCCTTCTTTACAGCCAGTAAGGGTTATTTTGTTGAAAGAATGGAAGCAGGTACTGTATCAATAAGATATGCCTGCATGAAGGTCTGGTTTTAGCATATCATTTTGGTTCTGTTTGCTGATTATAGATGACTTTCAAGGATTGGTGCATGTGGGTTTCAGCAACCTATTTCTATTAAAGGTATGAAATGGTCTAACTGACCCAGCTCCTGATTTCAGGGTAGGTAGGATCAAATGGGAGAACGTATGAGTTCTCACATGTCAGAGGAGGTCTAGAGGGAAAGTCCAGCTAGTTCATACAATATGATTCCAGTAGTGGCCTGAAGATCCAAGTTAGCTGCAACACTCATCAGACACGCACACTAATCAGCCCCTTCCCCATCCTCACACATCAGCCCCTCATTCCCACACAATAAAGACTCCCAAACCTCCACTATCCCCAACACACACACCCACACCAGTCAGTTTCTCTTCTCTAATTCTGAGCAGTACAGCACAGAAACAGATGCTTTGGTCCAACGCGTCCATGCTGACCAGATATCCTAAATTAATCTAGTCCCATTTGCCAGCACTTGGTGCGTATCCTTCTTAAACCCTTCCTATTCATATACCCATCCAGATGCCTCTTAAATGTTATTGTACCAGGCTCCACCACTTTGTCCAGCAGCTCATTCCACACGTGCACCACCTGCTGTGTGAAAAAATTGCCCCTTAGGTTTTGTTCTAAATCTTTTTCCTCTCACCTTAAACCTATGCCCACTAGTTTTGGACTCCTGCACCCGGGGGAAAAGACCTTGTCTATTTACTCAATCCATGCCCCTCATGATTTTATCAACCTCTATAAAGCCCACTCCTCAGCCTCTGAAGCTCCAGGGAAAATAGCCCCAGGCTATTCAACCTCTCCCAATAGCTCAAACTTTCAACCCTGGCAACGTTCCTGACGAAAAGCAGTGGACTCTGAAGCAGTGTCACTAGCCCGGGGTAAGGAGCCTGCACACCAGACAGACAAGCACAGAAATCCAAGGGTTTGAAGCTGCCACTCACAGCTCAATCATATTACTCCTCTACCCCCCAATTTCTCCCACACTCCAGAAACATAAGTCAGTCAGTCACTGAGTCACACTGGCTATCCACCCCTTTGTGTTTGGTGTCCCACCAGCATCTCTAGACATTCCTCACCACTGTCCTTGCTGCCTTAGAGAAGGGGGAGCTCACAACCCTATCTGATGTTCCTGTGACCTCTATCTCTGGTTGTGGCCCAGAGTTTGGGAAACCATTGATTGTTTCATACCTGATTTACAGATAAGTCTATCAACTCACTTCAGATATTATTACAGTGCATCAACATCTCTCACTATCAAACCCAGTGGACAAGATGCTTTCCTTTCATTGCCACACTTGCATTGAGTTCCCTTTCAGTATAGATAGTCTTGTGTTTTAAAGGGGGTGCAGGAGCATAGGGACCTGGGTAGATCTGTGCACCGAAGGTGACAGGAAAGGTGGAGAGAGCAGTTTGATAAATCAGTGTTCTTGGTTTTATTAGTAGGGGCATAGAATAGAAGAACAAGCGGTAATTTTAAACTTGTATAAGACATTAGTAAGTCCTGAGCTGGAGTACTGTGCACTGTTCTGGCTATTGCATTATACGTGAAATATGGGAAATATGTGAAAGTATTAGAGTACAAAAGTGATTTTCAAGGATGGTTCCAGGAATGAAAAACAGTTAGAAGGATAGATTAAAGAAGATGGGACTGTTCTCCCTCGGAAGAAGTATCATACAATCATATAATCCCTCCAGTGTGGAAGCAGGCCATTTGGCCCATCAAGTCCACACTGACCCACCCCCTACCCTATCCCTGTAACCCTGCATTTCCCATGGCTAATCCACTCAGCCTGCACATCCCTGGACACTACAGGCAATTCGGCATAGCAATCCACCCTAACGTGCACATCTTTGGACTGTGGGAGGAAACTGGAGTATGTAGAGAAAACCCATGCAGACGGGGAGAATGTGCAAACTCCATACAATCGCCTGAGGCTGGAATGAAGAAGGCCGAAGGAAGAGGAGGAGATTTGATAGATGTTTTCAAAATTATTTGCGGGCTGGACACAGTACATAGGAAGAAGCTGTTCCAGCTCTTTAAAGGAATGAGAGAGCAGAGATTTAAAGTGATGTATAAATGAAACAAGTGAGAAAAAAGCTTTTCACCCAGTGGGTAGTTAGGCTCTGGAATGCACTGCCTGGAAAGCTGGTGGATGCAGGTGTGATTGAGACGTTAAAGAGGGTATTGGAGGACTCTTTAGATTGAACTGGAGTGTAGGGGGAAAGACAGGAGATTGGCACTTGGTGATAGAACCACTGTGGGCAAAATGGGCAGAATGGCCTCCTTCAGCACTGTTACAATTCTGTGGTGCCAGGGCAGTGTCTTACCTCTGACCTAGAGCCTCTGGGTTCCAGCCCCATGGAAGATGTGCTTGTAACATGGACGTTATCAACCTGTAAATCCTTCCCTCATACCTGTAGCGTAAGTTTGAGCGAGCTGCAGTGTAACAGCCTCCTCATGCTAAATACAACTCCATGTATAAGTTAATGCCAAGGTCCTTTTCAGTTTGAGGGGCTACCAGAGATGTAATCCCAAATTACCGATCTCTGTCGTATTCCTATTGTTGATCTAAGACAAGTAAATATTCTCATTCTCCAAAAAGTGACACACAACAGCATCAGTTAGAGCCAACTCTCTGCAGCTTATTGTCTATATTTTAGGTTGTGTTTGGGTTCATTTATGAATGAGGCTTCAGAAAACCACAATGCAATGATTTGACCATTAGCTGCCTTTATCTCCAGTTTATACTTCAGATCCATGCAGAACGTTTCTTGGCAAAGCTTGTTTTGTATTTGCTTCAATTCAGGCAGTACTTGACACTCATTCATGAAACAGTGTTGAGAGGATCTCTCTTGAATGTTTATATTCAGTTTCTGCAAGATTAACTTGGGTTAGAAAGTTGAAATAGGCCAGAGAGTTCTTTGTGTGAGACACACATAAAGCCGGGTCAATGAATAATTCATGTCAACAAGGTTTCTCCAAAGTTTTAACAAACAAAAAACTGTTAGGGGACTGTGGGTGGCTTGGATTGAATCAGACCGTTGCCCTTTCACCTTGAGGACCTGACAAGATTGCAATCTCCTCTCTCTGATAGGCTTAGATTCCAACACAGGAAATAAATTGAGGGCAATCTCAAATAAGCGCAAGAAGTAAATTTGCCTGAATTTTGCACAATAAGGTGGAATGTTGGAAATTTCAATCTGAGGGCAATAGCGTGGGCTTTAGTTCAGACTCTAATATTTCCACAGGTAAAATAAATTGGTGCTGTTCCTCCAGTATCTAAACCATTCTCTATGTAAAATCTGGGAGCACTGACTGCTGATAATGAGTTTGATAAATAGCACACACATTCAATGAGAACAAAACACATCGAGAAGTGAGCACAACAGCCATTCCAAGTTCGGCTTTGTTCTTACATCAGTCAGAGCTGACAAACTGTAAATATCAATCAACCTCCTGGCTCTTCGGTAAAAGAAAACACATTGGAACATATTGAGATTGTGAAAGGCGTTATATAAATGCCCGAGCCCTGCACTGACAATGAAGTCCTTTTAAAGTAGTAGTGGCTTCTATACTGTGGGAAACAGAGCCAGCAATTACTGTGGGTGTACTGGCAGCACTCAGCTTGCAGCAGTTCATGAATGTGGCACGCCACCACCTTCTCAAGGGAAATCAGAGATGGCCAACAAATGTTGGCACTGCCACCCACCTCCTTGTGAAGGAATTAAAACAAAAGTGAATACCAAGTTCCCAAAACAGCAATGGGCAACTGACTCCATCTGTTAATTGTGAGGTAATTACTGGCCAGGATAGCAGAGCGAAAACCCTGCCCTACTTTCAACATAGTGACTATGGATAATCCTCATCAAGCTGGTGGCTCAGGTGGATTTGGGGTTTGAAATCTTCAGCACCTCTGACAATGCAGCAGTCAGATAGTAATGCGCCCAAGTATTTGCCTGCAACACACATCCTGTCAATTCAATGGCAGATGCTATGAATGAACATACAAA